ACGTGCAGACCAGCCATGGCTCCCAGAGCACTCGGTGTTCAGGGTGCTGCCTGTGGGGTGTGCTAAAGAGAAGAGCCATGCAGGGCCTAGGACAGGGAGCCGGGCTGTCGGGAGCCAGCCAGGAGCTGCTTCAGGATCTGATGTAGGTGACAGTGGCCTGGGCTGCTGCGCCAGAGAGCATTGTGGGGACATGAACTCCTGCAGTGGCTGGGGCTGGACACGAGGCGCCAGGCTGGGGAGACCCTGAGGGTGCCAAGTGGAAGGGCACAGAGACAGTGGGGGACAAATCCAGGAAGACCTTGCACTCTCCAGTTGGATGGTAGGTGAGACAGGGAACCCAAGAGGAGGAGCAAGGGCAAGAGAAAGCTTAGGCTTCTGCGTGGCTCTGAACTGAACTTCTCCTGAGCAGCTCAGCATTTATAGCTTTGCCACCACCTGAGCATTTCCCTGGTGTCCCATGCCCCACCCCACCCTGTCACCTTGAGTCAGATACTCCGAATGGAAGAGGTTCCATGGTGCCTTTTGGAGAAATCAGCTGCCCTCAAATCTCTCGCCTCCTTTTTACCTTCGGCGCCTGATGTTCCGGCTCCTCCACCCCTGCACCTTTCTCACCACCTGGAAGTGACAGTGCCACCCTTGTCTTGGCTCCCCCACCCACAGCTTCTTGTATGTTGTATAAGTGCAGAGGTCTGGCACAGTCCGCTCTGCGGGCCTCTCAGTGCCTGCTGTGTGAAGGCTGCCTGCCATTCGGGCATTCAGAGCAGGGAAGAGGCAAGGCACATGCTCACAGGCGGCCTTATCCTGAGGGCCAGTGATGCAGGAGGAAGTTTGTGCTTATGAACATGGAGGAGTGGGGGTGGCCCAGCACCCATGGCTGGGCCGTGGGCACAAGGGCTTATAGACTGCGAAGAGCCCGTGGGGGAGCCCAGTCCTGGGGAGTCTGAGGGTGGAGCCTGGAGCTCATGGGTGGGAGCTGGATGGGGTGAGGCCTGCACTCCTTCAGGGAGGCAGAGTGCTAGCGCAGAGCCTGGGGGAAGCACAGCTCTCAAAAGTCACCATTGTTCTCTCTGCTTTCTCAAGACCTTAGAGTCTTCAATCCAAGGCCTCCGGATAATGTGAAGCTGTGTGAGCCTCCCCCGTCCAGCAGGAGAAACATGGCTGCCTGCCGCTCTGCCCCAGTGAGACGGTGAGGAGAGCCGCCCCAGGAAGCACTGTAAACACGTGGCGCAAACATCGTGTGTTTTTGTTTAAATATAATTGGTGAAAGTGTTGGTTTTTTAAAGGCAACAGTGGTTTTTTTTGTTTTGTTTTTTGTTTTTGCTATTTCATTCCATTCTTGACCAAAGCTTCTGTTCAAGTAGTTTATTATGGAAAATTGTCACACTAACTTAAAGGAAAGGGTGAGGGAGGTATGTAAATTGTCAGCTAGAAAATTAAATAAAAATCCCAAATGTGTTTTTGGTTTTGTTTCCTTATAATATTTCCATGTTTAATAGAAAAATATGGATGAATTCTTCATTAGATTAGCTTGTTTTTAGGGTAAAATCTTAGATTGCAGTTTCTTGTATTGCATCGTACCATCGATCGTGGGGGCAGAACCATTTATTGAATGCTCTCTCCACATGACAATGCTTCTGCAAGTAAGTGCGCTGCACCTGGCAGCTGAGCAACAGAACAGCTTTCTCTTCTGAGCAGCCTGCCTCGTGGGAGCCTGCCCAGGGGGACTCCAAGGTCCACTGTCTAGCCTCTGCCCTGTGCCCACCATGGGGCAGCCCCCTGCTGATAGAGCCCCATGCAGTGGGGGAAGGGAGACAGTATCATCTCAGTTTAGAGATTATTGTGCCTAAAACAAGTTATTTTCATCCTAATTAGACATGAACTTTGAGAATCTTATGAGGTACAGGTATAAATAAGTAGCAAAATAAATAAACATAAAGTGGGCCACAGCCTGGCCACATGCTTTTTCTTTTTTTGGTACTGGGAATTGAACTCGGGCACTCGACCACTGAGCCACATCCCCAGCTCAATTTTGAATTTTATTTAGAATCAGGGTCTCACTGAGTTGCCTGGCTCCTCGCTGAATTGCTGAGACTGGCTTTGAACTCGTGATCCTCTGCCTCCACCTCCCAAGCAGCTGGGATTACAGGCATGCGCCACTGTTCCTGGCCTGGCCACATTCTTGATCTCACTGCTCAGAAAGTGATTCTAGCAGCTCTCTAGGGTGCTGGTAAAATGTCTGTCAGAGGACATTATGAGATTTGCAAAAGATTGATTTTGCCCTTTTGGCTATTCGCAGGAAGATTTCTCATCTCCAAGAAAGTCGAATGCCAGGGGTGTTGGCCTGGTGGCCTGCCCCATCCCCTGTGCTGTGGAGCCCTCTGCACCCCATGGCAGGAGCTCTTTGGTGCACACGTTTGCACAAAGTGCATCAACCAGGCTGTCATTGTGGAGAGGAGGATAGGCAGAAGCTGGCCCTGAAACAGGAATGAGCTCCAGCTTTCCTTTTAGGTTCATGATATGACTTGGTTGGACTAGCCAGAGAATTTTAGAGAGACAGTGTACCCCGGGAAAGAGTCTTACTTACTTTGACTCCAAAAACATAGTAGACACACAGTTATTTTATTTTTTTTTAACTCACACCCAGGGAAGAATGTCTCCCCAGTCCCAGCAGCCAGATGCCTTCAGTGCTCTGCCATCAGCCCTCTGAATCTGAGGGTTCTGAAACCCTGGGTTCTGTATCCACAGTGGGCCACATATGATGGTGATCCCATTCCATTATAACAGAGCTGAAAATTTTCTATTGTCTAGTGATGTCGGAGCATGGTAAGGTCGTAGTGCCACGTACCATTCACATTTGTGGTGAAGCTGGTGCAGACAAACCTACTCTACTGCCAATTGTGTTAAAGTATGACTCATACAGTTATGTACAGTACATAATATGCGATGATAATAAAAAAAACTTTGTTTATGTACTGCTTATTTAGTTACTATGCTTATATTTTATTGTTTATTTATTTATTATTATTGTTTGTGTGTGTGGTAACTAAGGATTGAACCCAAGACCTCGAGTGTACTAGGTGAGCACTCTACCATTCAGCTACATCCCTGGCCCTTTTTAATTTTTTGTTTTGAAAATAGGGTCTTTGTAAGTTGCCCAGGCTGGCCTCAAACTCTGAGTCTTCCTGCCTCAGCCTTCTGAGTGGCTGGGATGATAGGCTGGGATCATAGATATATACCACCATATCCAGCTTTATCGTTACTGTATAGTATACTCCTACTTAAAAAAAAAATGTTAGCCGGGAGCTGTGGTGTATACCTGTAATCCCAGCAGCTCCGGATGCCGAGACGGGAGGACCATGAGTTCAAAGCCAGCCCAAGCAATGGCGAGGCACCAAGCAACTCAGTGAGACCCTGTCTCTAAATAAAATACAATACAGGGCTGGGATGTGGTTCAGTGGTCAGTGCCCCTGAGTTCAATCCCTGGTACCCACCCACCCCCCCCCAAAAAAAAAAAGGGAAAAAAATCATTTACTGTAAAACAATATGCCATGATACAGCAGCAGTTGGCAGGCAGTCTGACACATCTCATTTCCCGTGTCTCCTTAAGTGCATCAGGAGGCCTCTGCCAGCGATTCACACATACCACCCATGTTTGAGTACATTCACTCAATGTTTACACAACAAGATCATCTTTCTTGTTTTGTTTTTTGTTTTCTGGTACTGGGGACTTGACTCCTGGGTGCTCTACCACTGAGCTCCATCCCCAGCCCTTCCTTTAAAGTTTGAAAACCACTAATAGAGAGTCAGGAACAAGAGGGTCCGTGAGGAAGGGTGTGTTAGTTACACATTAAATGCAGTATGTTACTGGAAAAACTTAGCTTACTGTACCAATGAAAGCAGTCATAGCATTAACTACTCATAATACAGTAGGGCTGTACTATTATTGCCACATTTTGTAAATGACAAAACCTAGGATACAGAGGGGAATGACCAGTCTGCAGAGCCCCAGTGGAAACTATGAAGCATGTTCCCCACTGGGCAAGAGCAGGGAGAGGAGATGCTATAGTAGCCACCTAGTTCAGCTCACCCAAGCTCAGAAATGGGAAGATGTCCTTGGAACTGAGGGGAGAGGACCCCTCTTGACAGTACTTTAAGGGAACTGCACTGACACATAAGTCTCTGGCGGAAGACATATGGGACGTGGAATGCTGAACCTCCATGGGCCTTGCTTCTAGTGGACATCTGTCCTTGGGGCCTTGGAAGGGGTCATAGAAGTTCCCCCTCTTCTCTCCCACTAACAGTTATCAGGTGGTGATGGATCCTTTGGCCTCAGGGAAAGGGACCTATAGTCCCCAATCTGGGGTAGACACATGTCCTTGTTCTGGCCAGGGAAACAAAAAGTAGATTATGCTGGAAGCTCCTGGGAAAGGTCATCCTCCCTTTTCTCCCACCCTCCCGGCCAGCCCTCTGCTTGCTTACATGGCTGTAAGCAGCCTGCGACCAGGAGGCAGCCAGGCTCACACATGGAGGAGGAGGACCTTGACAACCCAGCCTGAGACACTGCCTTCCTCCAAATCAACTGGGTCTGTGGCTGCATTTCTTGGAAACCTGAGATCAGAAAAGAAAGGGGAGTGTAGCATCTTCATCTCAGGGCACTGCACACAGATTCCAGGAAGAAGCAGAAAGCTGTCCAAGTGGTTCTGGGAACTCCAGATGAAATCCCTCCATCCCCAAGTTCCCCTTCCCCAAGGAGCTGCTTCACTTAAAGGCTTAGAAAACACCACCACCACCCCCACACACAGGGAGCGATTTCAAATAACACCCCCTTCACATTGCAGTCACGTTCGCTCCCCCATTCTTTGGGCCTTCCCTCCATGCTGCAGGCCTGGAGGTGGGGGACGGGGCCCATCAGCCTCCCTTCACAGATGCAGAAGCTGAGGCACAGCAAGAGTGATTTGCTGGGGTTACACTTCAGTTTAAGTAGCAGAATCAGAATCAGATTGTTTTCTAATCATTTATTCATTTCTGATCATTTATTCATTCATTCTGCAGATGGGTACTGAGTGACTCCTATCTGCAGCCTCTCCAGTCAGCCCTGGGAATGGCAGTGGACAACACAAACATGGTTGCTGCACACATGGACTTTGAGTCTTTTCATCGAATTAGGCTACTTCAGTTCTGTTTTCCACGTTAGGAGAAAGGAGTCCTCTATGCAGGTTGGTTAGGGTGCTTCTGGCAATGAGTAGCAGAAAAATTCAGTGCAAATCAGTTTAAACATTAAGCCAGTAACTTGGGACTGAATTATGGGCTGACCAGATCATTTGTCCAGATTGTGCTGTATTTTCATCCAAACTCATGCAGCTCACCCAGAAGGCAGTTCTTTGCCTTGGATCATCCTCCAAAGTCCTGGGCTTTGCTTCAAATGGGTCATCTGAAGTCAGGCATTGAGGAAAGGAAACACCACAGGCTGATGGAGTTAGACCACTCAGGGCCTTCTGGGGTCATTCCCTAGGCATCTGTGAAGCTACAGAGGGGTAGAATGGAGTCCATGGAAACAACTACAGTGTCATTCTGCATCAAATCACACTTGTCCCATGGGAGGAAGGCTGCTGGTACAGACTATCTGAAACTGCTAAGGAGCAACAAACGTGGGAATTTGCATCACAGCCCCCCCCACATCTCAGGAAAATTGTCATGTCAAGAAGATCTGAGCTCCAGTTCACTGGGCGAGGACAATGCTCACTGTGGAGAAGTGCTCCACTTGTTAATACAGGGGATCCTTCAAGCCACTCCTCAGAAGAGCTGTCTCTGTAAATAGAAGCCCAGGATGGTGACAGGAGATGCCAATGGGAGTCTAGGGGTCACTTCTAATGGGGGTAGTTGTGGGGGTTGGGCAAAGTGACCTCAGAGACACTCAGCTACCTCCTGGTGGATGAGCCCAATTTGGCAGGTGGGGGGGGGGGGGAAGTGTTCTAGGCAGACAGAAGAGCATGTGTTTAAAGCTCTAAGACCTGACAGGGTGAGGGTCTGGCCACTCACCTCCTGAGACACTCACCTCACACCCAGCTTAGAGACAAGTTCTGGAGAGTATTGTCACCGGGGTCTCGTCTACCTGATGGGTCACATCTGCACTCGTGAGGCAGAGGGTCAGGACTCAACAACCCCTGGCGACCACTTGGCCTAACATCCCAAATAAGGTGGCTGGAAGGCCACCCGGATAATTCAAAGACCTGAAGTGGGCTGTGGTGGCCTAGAGGAGCAGGAAGTCACTGCTGGTGACCCGTGTGCATCCCTGCCTGGAACCAGCACCCCTGTTAACAGTAAGGAAAACGAGGGCGGGGCCGGCAGCCGTGGTCACGGCCTCGCTGCTGCCCACACCCAAGCACGGCCTGCACCTACCGACCGGGGGCAACCTGGGAATGACCGAGCGCTGGGGACCGAGGACACAGGGGCTCGCCAAGTTGCACGGTCACCTGCGTGTGGCGCAGAGCCCGCCGTCGGCGCCCGCGCTCGCCGGCCCCCGGCTGCCAGCGGCTGGGTGGCCGCCTCCTCCCAGCCTCAGTTTCCCCGCCCGGAAGGCAGAGAGCGGTGGCCGCGCAGGACTTCCGCACACGTCCCGGCTCCGACATCCGCGCGGCTGGATCGCGGCAGCCCCTGAGCCCCGAGGGGTGGGCGGGACCTGGGATCTCGCGACCGCCGCCCCAGGTCCCGCCCCCGGCCCGGAGCCCGGACCGCGAGGCCCCGCCCCCCGCCCACGAGGAAGTGGCCGCGGCGCTGCGCGGGGCCCAGAGCCGGCTCGGCGCGTCGACTGCCCAGAGTCCGCGGCCGGGGCGCCCCGAGGTGAGGGGCACGGGGCGGGGCGCGGGGATCGGGGCTGCAGGGAGGGCCGGGGCGCGGGGGTCGGGTCGCTGCCCGACGGGGCGGGCGGCGGGAGCGGAGGGGCCATCTGCCGGTGCGGGGGCGCGGGTTGCGCCCGAGGGGAGCGCGCGGGGGCTCGCGGGGTCGGGGACCCGGAGGCGGGGACACGGGCTCCCTGCACACCTGGCATCCTCGGGGACCCCGCCCGCTCGGACCCCTTCCCGCCTCCGCGGCCCCGCTCCCGGTCCCCACCTCCCGCTCGGCCCCTCGCTTGTGTCGCCGTCACCCCGATTCTCAGTGCCGCGGGGCCCCACGCCCAGTCACTTCCCCTCCATCCTCCAGCCTTCCGGGTTGCCGAGGCCGGGAAATGAGCTGGCGCCCCCGCCACGCCCCGGCTGCCGCCTCCCGCCGGAGTCGCGGTCCGAGGGGTCCCGACGGACGGGCTTGGGTCCTGGCGAGGGATTCGGGCGCCCCCTCCTTCCCCGAGGCGCAGGGAGCACAGCCAGGGCCCGCAGGCGGCGACTGGAGCCTTAGCAGATCAGAGCCTAGGGCCAGACCAGGAAGGGCTGTCTCCGGGCTCCGCGAGCCTTGGGCGGTGCACCCCGGAGGGTGAGAAGGATACAGGGGACCTAGGTGCCAGCTTCCTCTCTGGCCCCATGACCTTGGAGAGCCCCCTAACCTCTGTGTGCCTCAACTTTCCTTATCTGGACAATGGGGACCTTTCAAGTTGCAAGGCTGAAATGCGAGAATGTGTGTAAGACACTTGGCAGTGCGCCAGGTACAGACGGCGTATGAATGCTTGCTATTGTTGCCGTTATGAAGCCTGCAGTCTTGATGTGTGTGTCTGCTCTGAGGGACCCGACCTTGGGGGCTTGGGGTCCAGTCGTAGCTATGCCTTTGAGGAACTGTGTGACTTGGAGGGGATCTTTGCTTTTATCTGAGCCTGTTTGCTCATCATGTACAAAATATGTCTTTATACATGATTGATGGGTCTTTTCTAATAGTTAAATAGCATCACAATGTGTTTTTTGTTTTGTTTTTGTTGTTTGCAGTGGTGGGGATGGAACCCAGGCTTCAAGCCTACCAGGCAAGAGCTCTACCCTGAACCACTGAGCTATATCCCCAGACTCCCAACATTAAGTCCCTGCTAATGTTATTGTGTTCTATTTATTCATTCCTAACACAGTTGTTGAATTCAGTTTATCAGTCTCTTCAGAAAGACCAAACTATTTTGCAACAAATGAGAGAATTTCTCCACAGCCCTCCCAGCATTGAGTTTTATGTGTTTTGGGGTTTTGTTTTGTTTTCTTTAATTCATGCTTTGTGGTGCCTTATAATTGTTTGAGTCTTGTTTCTTGACTTTGCCTGGCTTGTAAGACTTAAAGAGCAGAGTCAGGAGGGGTGAATGGGGGTAGCAAGGGCTGATCACACCACCCAGGCTCCTACCCACAACAGGAAGTTGAGTAATACTGAGCACCCTGAGCAAAATGGCTTGCTGGCAATTCCCTCCAAGCGCCTGAGCGAGCTGGGCGGAGACTTCCTGCAGTGCCTCTGGAGCCAAGGTCCTTGCTCCAGGCAACTCCTGCCTAGTTTAGCCTCCAATACAGCCAGACCTCTGGAATCAGGGAGACCCAGTAAAGCCAGGCAAGGAAGAGCCCCAGCCTGTGCTGGATAAAGACATGGCAGAAGGTTGACCGACGCCCAGCCAGTCTGGAGAGAGACAGTTTAAACCCAGCACCATGAGGAGGTAGCCCTGAAGCCTGGGGACAGGGAGAGTGTCCTCCCTAGCTGACAGCCTGGGGCTTTGCCCATCTTGCTTTGGAGGAGAGCTGTATCCTTCTCCCCTCCACATCCACGGGGGGGGGGGGGGTCCCCTAGATTAGAGGTTTCCAAGCTTTTCTAACCATTGACTCCATTCGGGAGAAAAATTTGAGTACATAATCCCCAAATTTCTACAAATCACATAACACCCACATGCCACTGAAGTAACACAGCACATTTCTCAGAGACCATCCCCCAAGATAGACCTCAGGAAGAGGATGCAGTTCATTCATAGGCCACATTCATGGAGCACTTACCATGTCCAGGCCCCTAATCCCTGCTGGGGACATCTCGGTGAACAAAACGAATACCTCCTCTTTTGAACTTCTGTTCAAGTACAGGTTGTAATAAAAAAAAAAAAATGGGGGGTGGTTCTTGGGTAAGGTGGTACACGCCTGGATTCCCAGCCCTTGAAAGGCTGAGACAGGAGGATCACTTGAGCTCCCAAGTTCAAGGTCAGCTTGGGCAACAGCGAGACCCCACAGTTTTGAGTGGCATTTGGAGGTACAGAGCACATGTTAGGCAAGTGCTCTACCACTGAGCTGAATCCCAAGCCTGAGACCTCATGTTAAAAAAAATTTTTTTTACACCCTGGTGAGTGGTCTTAGGTACCCCCTGAATAGAAACTCCCACCTCACATTGCCCCTGCAGGGAATTCTGAGTCTCCTAAGGAGCACAGCCCCACCACCCTCCCTCCCCCAACCCCACCCATCTTTGGTCACCTGATCCATGAGTATGGAGAACCAGCCCCTAGGCTGACCTGAGGTGGCTTGAAACCAGCTGAGGTGTGCATGCACTTTGGCCCTCACTCCCCCAGCCTCACCATTTCCAGGGTGATGGAGCACAGAGCACCACGGGTGGACTCCTGGTCCCAATGCCACCCCCCAGGGTCCCCTTCTCTCTCATGTTCCTCAGCTGTCAGAGACTTCACTGGCTCTCAGGGCCATATCATCAAGTGGATCAGGGAGACCACGTTCCCTGCCAGCCTCTTCCTCCAGGAGCAGTGCAGAGGCCTGGTGGCTGTGTACTGGGGCGAAGCAGCCCATATGGGTTTTCCTGTGAGCTTTTAGTGGCAGGGTGGCCTGCAAGCCTCGGGAGGGCAGTTGTCCCACCCACCCCATTTGGTAGTTAGAGGTTTTCCTGAGGCAGAGTGGCGGGCTGTGAGGCTGATCCTGGGTCTGACCAGGGAACCATCCTATGATCCCTGAGCCAGAAAGCCCGGAGCCCCATGGCTGACTGCCTCTTGGGGCCCCCACTTCCTCATTTGGCAGATACAGGGGTTGGGGAGTCCTTGCTGAGGCCCTGCCGGTTTCAGTAGCTTTGCAGAAGTTATAAAAAGGGGGAAATGAGTCTTCCTCTTTCCAGCCCCTCTTCACCCTTCTCTCCTGCCCCCAATTCATGCTGGATGGAGTGTGATTGGCTGATAGGTGTGGCCTGAACCTCCCTGTCTGTCACACTGTGCCTATGGCCTGTGTCTCACTCAACCACTGAGCCACCTCCCCAGCCCTATTTTGTATTTTATTTAGAGACAGGGTCTCACTGAGTTGCTTAGCGCTTCATTTTGGCCGAGGCTGGCTTTGATCCTCCTGCCTCAGCCTCCTGGAGCCGCTGGGATTATAGGTGTGCACCACCGCGCCCAGCCCTGTGGCCATCTTTACCAGCACCTCCCCCATCAGCCCCTGAGTTCCAGGAAACAGGGCCAATGTTCCCCAGGGCCTCCTCCTGCATTACTCACTAGGACATGCGGGGGCTGCTGATGGGGGTGGCCGTTCCACCTTCACAGCCAGGACCGATGTGCCTGGGCCCATGCAGAGTGTCACAATTGTTGCTGAAAAGTCAGGTCTGCCTACCAGCCCAGGGTTCCCCAAGTTCAGGTTCTGGGCCCCACCACAGACGGCAGCCCCAGCTTCCTCCTTCTTTTTGCTCCCACTGAAGCTGTGGAAGCGGCCATTGACCACTGGACGCCAGGGGCCAACTAGAGCCTGGCCTCAGCCCTGCCCCTGCCCCGCTGGTGACCTCAGACCGTGGAACTGGGGCAGCTGAGCAGCTTGGTCAGACAGGCTCAAGCTTCCCTCTCCTCAGCCTTGTCATCTGGCATGGGCAGTGATGGCCTAAACCTGGGCCACCCCGGAAGTACTCAGGGAAACCCCCAGCAGGCCTGCTGACCTGGCCAAAGGCTCTGAGGTGCACTTCAGGCGGGGGCTTTGCCTTACACAGGCCTTGGGAGAGAGGTTAGGGAGGCAGCCGTGCTGGGGGCCTGCCCTGGGTAAGGCTCACTGTGCACACACAGGATGTCTGTCTGCAGCAATGTCTTCACATGTGACGCTGGGCTGTATGTGCACATGGCTCTCTTGTCCACTTTCTCTGCAAATGTCAACTGAGGAGGACCCACTTGAGGCCCTTTCCCAGGCATGGAAGGAACAGACAAGGTCCCTCCACCATAAAGATGCACACATTTCTGTTGGTGTCTTATTCTGAAACAGGATACTTTTCAGGATGTTTTGTTGTATGTAAAAGCAGGGGTGTGGCTAGGCGAGCTAATGGTTCTAGTGGCTTGGGAGGCTGAGGCAGGAGGACTGCAAATTCAAAGCCAGCCTCAATGACTAAGTGAGGCCCTAAGCAACTCAGCGAGACCCTGTCTCCAAAAAAAAAAAAAATGCTGGGACCCTTGGGTCCCATCCCTGGTACCGAAAAAAAAAAAAAGTAGAGTATGCATTTGGGTGGGCATACCAGGCAGGGCCCACCAGGCAGTGAGCTTTGGGGTAGGGGGGCTGAGGTGCCACTGATTCCTAGACTTGAATGGCAGGACATGTGGGCCCCAGGATCAGCCTCTGGCCTGGTTGGGGAGATCGACTCTTCAAAGGATAAACCAAGGTCAGGTGCCATCACATCTATTATGGCCCAAGGGTGCCATGTCTTGGACACCCCCTGGTGCCTAGTGTGGTGTATCATCTTATTTCACCGGCCCAACACCTCTGGTGAGGCAAGATTCCTGTTTCCACCCTGATGCTGAAGAAACAGGTTCTGGGAGGATGAGAGAGGTTCCCCTGGGCCACATGGCTTTGCAAGCAGTGCCTCGGGGCTCCTCCACTCCAGGACCTGCAGCTGAGAAGCTGAGTCAGTGTCAAGACAGGCAGAGCCTGGGTTTGGGAAGTGATGTTCTTGTTAGGTCTTTCTGGATGGGTGCATCTTGGCTGAGCAGGAGTAGCCTAGGGCTGCAGGTGATAGAACTGGCCTTGAAGGCACATTTGGCTAGATGGGAGGCCCCAGGCTGGCCAAGGGCAGGCAGCACCCTGCAGAGGCAGCAGGGTATGAGCTGGGGACAGCAGTGAGGGAAGGGAGCCAGTGTTGTGCCACCACCCTCCGTGGTTCCTCCGAAGCTCCGTGACAGCTGGGAATGGTTGGTGGGGGCTGAGCTGCCCCCTGCCAGGGTTTCACTATCAGTGCTGGAGCTGGTCTCCTGCAGGGGGCTGCATTCACCCCACTGCTTCTATTTCCTCCTATGTCCTTATGGGTGGGCCTCCTTAGGGTCTCTCTAAAACCCCATTACCCAGACCTGAGCACAGCAAGTGAAGGCCTGTCCACCTCTGCTTCTCCCTTGGGTCCCTGGGCTCTGGGCATGGAGGGTCAGTGTGCTGCATTCTGTGACACTTACAGGATTGCTGCATTTCATCTTCACCCAGACCTTATGGTGGGAGGGTGGAGGATCAACCCATGAGGCACAGCTGGCAGGTGCCAGCCTGTCTGGCCAGGTCCCAGCACACCCCACTCACAACAGATCTTCATCTGCCCATCCCACTCTGTTCCCTGAAGCCACAGAGACATCCTGTGATACCTGCCCTCTTAGGAGGAGGGGAACAGGCCCCAGGTCTGGAAGCCACACACCAGGCCTGTCAGGAGACCCAGGTGGGCCCTGCCATCCTTTCCTGCAAACTGGTGCCCCTCTGAAACCGGGGTGGTCTTCCCATGGGGGTCACGTGGGTCCTGGTCTCTCTGGGCAGGAACAGAGCTGACCTGCATTCTCTCTTCTCTTGGTGCAGGAGCTGAGCCATGGCTTACCACAGCTTCCTGGTGGAGCCCATCAGCTGCCATGCCTGGAATAAGGATCGCACCCGTGAGTGCCCACTGGGAGTGCCCCCCACCCAGTGGGCTCCTTGAGACCCATCCTCACCCTGCCCCTAGGCCCTGTCCTGAGGGAGGTGCTGGAGGGAAGGGGAAGAGCTCAGGGGGTGTGGAGCATGCCAGCCAGGCCCTGCTGCAGGAGCTGGTGCTTGTAGGGGTGGGGGGGATAGGACAGGACACTAAGCTTGGGTCTCCTGAGGGGAAGGTACAAGGACAAGAAATGAAGCTAGGACCTAAAGAGGGAGGCTGTGGAGGCAGAGCTACTGGTCTAGAAAGGGTGAAAAGAGACATTTCTGAGCAAGTGGCACTGAAGCCAGGGAGGGCAGGGGTAGGAGCCCAAGGTGTCAGGAGCAGCCAGGAGGCTGGCTGGCATTGGGGACACGGAGCAGTAGCAGGGCAGCCACCGGCCAGAGCAGTGGGATGGGAAGAGGTCCTGGGTTGTGAGACGGCTGTGGGAGCATTGAGGGGGTACAGGTGAGGGAGGGGTGGCCAGACTCAGAAGGGTGAGAGGGTGCTCAGCAAGGCCTGAGGGGTTTCAGGGGACTCCACTAGAGGAGAGCCTGGGTTGTGAAGGGTGAGATGGAGGGTAGTCATGGGGAAGGGTGCTGGGGGCCCATATCTCTTCCCCTTGCTAAGCCCTTTCTGCTGCTCCTGCAGAGATCGCCATCTGCCCCAACAACCACGAGGTGCACATCTATGAGAAGAGCGGGGCCAAGTGGACCAAGGTGCATGAGCTCAAGGAGCACAACGGGCAGGTGACAGGTGGGTCAGCACTGGTGAGGGAACAGGGAGGGGCTGGCTGTGGTCATGCACCTACCTAATCAGTGAATTAAGCAGAACAGATTGGGTTTCAAGGAACACAGCCCTGTTTCAAAGTGGCTTAGGTTGTAAATGGATTATGTTGGCTCATGTTACTGAGAAATTCAAGGTTTGTAGGTTCAGGAGAGGCTTGATCCAGCAGCTCAGTTCTTGCTCTATAAAGAACTCTGTCTCTAGCTTTGTCTTCAAGCCTATGGTGATAGCCTAGGAGAGCTGTTACAGCTCTCATAAGGTCCAGTGGCAACCCTGGTCTCTCCAGGTAATAGTGGCCTACAGGGAAGTGTATGTGCTAGGCAGAGGCAGCTTCCTTGCAGGTTGTGGCTTTGGCCCTTCCTATGTGACCCCTGTAGAGCTAGCTCAGCTTGATGGCTTCAGCCTAGTGTTTTCTACGTCCCTCACAGGTATCGACTGGGCCCCTGAGAGTAACCGCATTGTGACCTGCGGCACAGACCGCAATGCCTATGTGTGGACGCTGAAGGGCCGCACGTGGAAGCCCACTCTCGTCATTCTGCGGATCAACCGTGCTGCCCGTTGTGTGCGCTGGGCCCCCAATGAGAACAAGTTTGCTGTGGGCAGTGGCTCCCGTGTCATCTCCATCTGTTACTTTGAGCAGGAGAATGACTGGTGCGTGCCTGGGCAGGGCCAGAGTGGGCTGGGAGGGACCCGGGACTGTCCAAGCTCAGGACTGCAGACCTACAGGAGGCAGCACTAGTCCCCAGAAGGCACAGGAGGAGATGTTGGGACCCCTACTCACATGACCCCAGGAAAGTCTGTCTCTTGGTGAGACAAGGGACTCTGCATAGTCCTTCAGTGGTCCCCCAGCCTCAACTTGGCAATGAGGACACAGAGCATCCCAGGCCCCACTTCTGGGGGCACTTGCTAAGCCATGACTTCCTGACAGCCCCATGGACTGGGTCTGTCCCACTCTGCAGATGAGCAAAGTCAGTCACTTACCCAGATGCCCAGCCTGTCAGACTGCGGGGCACCACTCACCAACTGCCAGACATGCCTCAATCCCACATGGCTGAGGGTGGGCACCAGGCAGAAGCCCAGCTGAAATCTGGGAAACTGTAGCTTAGATAACTTTGTGAGGTTAAAAGGATACAAGACAGAATCCCCATCCCAGAGGAGACCCAGCACATTGCTGCCTGTCCCACATCACATAAGTCCAGGTCTCTCCACCTAGGACATTGGTGGCCTGCAATGTGCTGAGGTCTGTGGATGCTCACTTCCTGTCCCTCTCCCCCCTACCTGTCTGGCCACGTGTCCAGGTGGGTGTGCAAGCACATCAAGAAGCCCATCCGCTCTACTGTCCTCAGCCTGGACTGGCATCCCAACAATGTGCTCCTGGCTGCTGGTTCCTGTGACTTCAAGTGCAGGTGAGATGGGAGCCTCCTCCCAAGGACCCCAAGTGAGGAATTGCTCTCTGAAGAATCACCCTGTGTCCAGTCTACAGCCCTGTAGCCCCTGCCTCAGTATAACTCCCACCTTTATAGTTTCCTGGCTTGTCTGAAGGAGGTGAGCGGGTGCGTTTATTAAGGTAGGAATGACTGGTAAACTGGAACAAGTCTTGCTTCATGATCTTCAGGACTGGAACATAGCGTATCCAGTTGCTATTCACTGTTTTTAACTTCTGAGCCTAGCACCCAAGTCTGCCTTGGCCACCAGTTCTCCAGCTTCATGCAGGTGGCTGCTCCCCACCCCTGCCACCCTGTTCTGAATCTCCACTTAGAAAACAACAGGCACCAGAAGCCACTTCAGAGGCCCTAGGCAAGAAAGGATGGCATCCTGTGAGGCTTTGCTGGTGGGTGGGGAGTTGGTTTGCTGCTACCCTGATCTGTCAGGTGGATTGAGAAGAGGTGAATGCTGGGGAGTGAAAGAGGGTGGAGCCTGTAGGAAGGGGCAGAGCTGGATCCAGGCAGAGAGGAGAGGAGGGGCATCCGAAGGGCTGGCATGATAGGACCACAGCCTCTGGGGGCCACGTGAGTTGTGGATAGTCAACTCTCAGGTTGTCCCCACAGGCTCTGGGACACCCTCACCTCCATCTTATTGCACCTAGGGAATACTGATGCCCAGACTTGTTGAGCATGAAGACACAGGTCATGGGAGCCAGATCTTGAATGCACGGGCTCCAAGCTTGTGCTCTGACCACTCGGAGTCCCCCACCAGCCTGGTTTGGGAGGGAGTTCCCTTCTCAGGCCCCTAAACCTCAGTTCCCTTCTTGCCTCTGCTGGCAGGATCTTCTCTGCCTACATCAAGGAGGTGGAGGAACGACCAGCCCCCACTCCATGGGGCTCCAAGATGCCCTTTGGGGAGCTGATGTTTGAGTCCAGCAGTAGCTGTGGCTGGGTACACGGTGTCTGTTTCTCAGCCAGCGGGAGCCGTGTGGCCTGGGTCAGCCATGACAGTACCGTGTGCCTGGCTGATGCCGACAAGAAGATGGCGTGAGTACAGGGGTGGAGGTGCAGGGCTACAGGGCAACCCAGACACAGGCAGGAGGTGGTGCCCGGTGGCTAACCTTGCTCTTCCCCTCAGCGTTGCCACACTGGCCTCTGAAACATTGCCACTGCTGGCCCTCACCTTCATCACCGAAAACAGTCTGGTGGCAGCGGTAAGCAGTGGTGGCTGGTAGGAGCAGCTCTCCTACCTCCCCCTCTCCCTTGTTCCCTTCTTGCCTTACACCCATTCGTATCCACATGGGACAGAATAGGTTAGGTTATGCTGCAGTAACAACAAAAAATCCCCAGTTGCCCTGGCTTAATGCAGTAAGGACTTCTTGCTCCCATTTCATGTGCAGTGTGGGTATTGTGAGGGAGTCTGAAGGAGGCCTGGTCTCTGACATGCTTCCCGGGTTGCCTTATGAGGAGAAAATCCAGAGGAGCAGCTAGCTGCAGGGTCTCTCCTGGAGGTGGTATAACTGGCTGGGTGGAACTCTTGGGGAGTCCAAGATTTTCAACTAGATCCAGGCGTTGCTGTGTGAGAGGATAGTTCCATCCCATTTGTATACCTGGGGTTGAGGCCTAATTCTTCATGGCCTGGTCATGTCCCCAAGCTGGGACATTCATTTCAGTGGAAGTGCCATCAAAGCCCCACATGGGATATATGATGCTCCCCAGCACCTTGCCTCACCTCTCCTTTGTTGGGTGGAGAATGGGGGCACTCAGCCTGCCCTGGCAGGCACTCAGTGGTAACTCCACATGGCCACAGGGCCATGACTGCTTTCCAGTGCTGTTTACCTACGATGGTGCCGCGGGGACACTGAGCTTTGGTGGGCGGCTGGATGTGCCCAAGCAGAGCTCGCAGCGGGGCTTGACAGCCCGTGAGCGTTTCCAGAACCTGGACAAAAAGGCCAGCTCTGAAGGTGGCGCCGGCGCCGGAGCTGGGCTGGACTCTCTGCACAAGAACAGTGTCAGGTGAGGGCAGGGCCAGGGTTGCCTAAGAAGTCAGGTGCAGGGGGAGCCCTGGAGGGAGGGACACCATCTGGGAAGCAGTTGAGAACTCTTTTGGGTGCACAAAAATCACAGCAGGTGGGGGCTGAGCATTAACCTCGCTGATAATTGGACTGTCCTGGGAGTGAGGCCTGTGAGCAGCAGGCTTTTTGTGGGTGGGTCTATCACTAGAACCCAGTGGAGGTAAGGGTCCCTCTGCAGTCACCTGAGGACCCTCCAAAACCCAAAGCTCCCAGCCATGTTAATCAGGGTGATGGCAAGACTTCAACAGCCCCTTGGCTATAAGCCTATATCTGCCCAATCTTCCAACTAAGCATCTTTTTTAGAACCAACCTCACTTTCCCCTTCTTTTCCCCTGTCCCAGCACATTACTGGCACTTCATCCCCTAGATGTGCATGTCCTTCCTCCCTGCCCAGCCCTTCAGTGTCTTCTGCAACTGCTGGTCCCCAAAGCAGACTCCCAAGCCCACTCTCAGCCTGTCCCTGGCTGGGCACCTCCATCTTGCACTTCAATCTCATAGGAGTTTGGGATCTCCTGGTGCATAGGCTGGGATCCCCAAGCTTCTCATCCTCCTTACAGCCAGATCTCAGTGCTCAGTGGGGGCAAGGCAAAGTGCTCACAGTTCTGCACAACAGGCATGGATGGTGGCATGAGCATCTGGGATGTGAAGGTGAGACTTTGTTGTATCCCAGTTCCCTCCAGGCCCCTGGATTCACCTTTCTCCCCTCTCCACCTCCCCAGCATGACCCTGGATGACCCAGTCCTTCACTCCTACAGGAGAAAGGCATTTTGGGGGCTGGGGGTGCAGTAATGGAGCAGCCCTTGACCCCTGGGCTTGCATGCCCTCTGGTTGGGATTTAGACTCAGGTCTGCCCCACTCCAAAGACCAGGTTCTGTCCTTTACTATGCTGGGGCTAAGGGGGCATGGATTGGGGGCCCTGTGTATGGGGGCACAAAGCTGAGAACCAGTCTGCCCATTCTGCCTCCTTGCAGAGCTTGGAGTCAGCCCTGAAGGACCTCAAGATCAAATGACCTGTGGGGAGTCTGCCCTCATCCCAACAGCTGGGGAAAAGGGGCCAGGAAGGGCTTGAGAAGGCTTTGCTGAACGCTTCTGGGGTACCAGTATGGGACACCCCTGGGGACTGCTCCCTTAGAAGGGGGAGGAGCTTTTCTTACCTATTCAAGGAATATGTGCCTTTTTCTTAAAGAAATGCCACCAAAGCACAATGCTGGTCATGAACTGCTTCAGAAAATGAAGGTAATAAAAATGCAATTGTGGACATGCTTGCCTGTGTGTTTGGAAGGAGGGTGGTTTTCCACTGGTCATGAACTGCTTACCAATGAACTGACAGCTCCCCTTATTCTCTACTAAATGCAGTCCCAGCCTGTGTTAGCCCATTAAGAGTTTGGGTCCCCAAGTTGAGGTGTCTGTCGCAAGGCCCTGCAGTAATGGGCAAAGAGGCATTCATACCCCTTTTGCTGCTTTCCTCAGGCAGATAGGGTCCCCAGCAACACCCAACCCACACCCCACACACCACCCTGAGCAGCATGCTTCCCTCTACCCTCTTTCAGGCGCCTCGTGCAGGAGCTCTGCAGAAGCTTGCCGACCTTCCTCATAAGACTTGCAGCCTATTTCAGAGAGCACAAGTATTGGCTTTAAAGTAACAGGTGTGGAACTAGGCACAGTGGCACACACTTATAATCAAATTACTTAGGAGGCTGAGACAGACTTGAGAGTTCAAGGCCAGCGCAGTTCTTGGGTGGGGGCAGGAGGCAGAGGACAGGTTCAGAGGCTGGGGCTGAGTGGTAGAGTGCTTTCCTAGCGTGTGTGAGGCCCTGGCGCCAACCCCAACAGCTTGTGTTTAATGGAAATGACACAGGTTCCAAAGTGCTTCCCCTAAAGGAAAAGGCACTACATGGCACTATCAGGGTAGGGTTGGACTCCTCCAAGCCTGGCAGGTAGCAGGCCCAGTCCAGAAAGGAGGGTGACCCTGGACCCTGCTCTGTACTGTACATCACCAGTGTTCACTAGGACCCTGACAGACTTGGTGGGCCTTCCTGTGCCAAGCCCTGCTGGGTACTGAGGGGACAATGAGGGCAGAGTTGGTATTGTGAAGCTCACAGTCTGGTGGGGGAGGCAGATAACCCAGTGCCCAGGAGAGCTCAGGAAAAGGAGACTGAGGAAAGGTGCCAGCCAAGGCATAGCATGAACCAAGGGCTGGTGAGCAAAAGTGGGGGCCTTCAGGGAGCTGAAGGATGAGGTGAGTCCAAGAAGGCTCACCAGCTCCTGGCAGCTCTTGGGACCACGCAGGCCACAGCTAGCTTTGCATTCCAAAGACTAGACCAGAGGCCCAAGAGGAGGCTACGGCAGTATTTATGTGTGAATGACACAGTGGGGTGGGGGAAACAGGGCTGGCAGCTGGGATATCTACCTGGCTTAGGTGACTAGGTAAAAGACTAGTGACTTAGTAGAAGAGTTGGAGGAGTCCTAACAGACACAAAGCACTGTGTCCCCATCTTGGGAAGGACCTGTTCTGCCCATTTTAAAGAGGAAAACGGGGTTGGGGGGTATAGCTCAGTAACATGGCCTACCATGCTTTAGGTCCCAGCACTGCCAAAACACATACCAGAGAAAGATGTTACAAACTCCCACAGGCAGAAAGTGGCACAGCCAGAATTCAAACACAAGTCTGACTTCCAAACCCAACTATAGGGGTGTCTGCTAAGAGGGTCTCTGGTCAAGCCAGAGAAATGCTTCCAGCCCAAGGAGCTTTAGTCCACACATTGCCCAGGTATCCAGGCAAGACTGTAAACCTATACTCCTGGACCTGTAGACACCAGGAAGTCCTTGCCTTGAGCACCAGAGGATTCTTTCAAAGCCCTGACTCTTCACCGGCCATTTACAGACCTCCTCTGGCTTTCAGCACCCACCTTAGAGGACACCTACCTCATTGCTGCCCAGTCTCAGAGCCGGCAATGGGAACCTGGCCAAACAGCTACCACCTTCTTCCATCTTGTCAGAGAACTTCATTTCATGGCTACAGACGAGCCTGGGAAACTGCTACATGATCTCCAGGCAGCAGGAAGACATTGCCCCTTGAGGAATTCCTGCTCCTCAGGGGCCAGGATTTGCAGGACACTAGGGCAAAATGCAGATGCTGGCACTGTGGAATCTCTCCATCAGTTCCCAAGGCATGTAGTAAGAAGTTCCTGGGAGTCAGGAGCTCAATACCGTTTCTGCTACTAAATCATTTTGCCTGATCTCGGGCAAACCACACCATTCCCACCCACACCCCTCCCTGTGTGGCACCCCATGACATCAACAGACCCACTAATCTTTCAGGACCAAACACAAAGGTAAAGAATGCTTCAGATGGGTGCTGAGGCAGGACAAGTGCTGTGGGGTTATCTTTCACTAGACGTGAATCTGTAGCACAACCCATTGCTGATGTTTCCCCACTGACAGTCCCCACCATAAAATACGGTAAAAGCTAAATGTGATGATAACGCTCAGCTTTTGGGAAGCTTCTTCCAACACAGAATTAGGCTGTTACCACCAGGGGGCACCTGGAGAAGGTGGCCTGTGCTGTTCCAGCCTGCTGTGGGACCAGGAATAATCCCTGCATATTGCACATGCTACCCAACAGAAGGTTTGCTACGTGCCCTGCCTGAGTGCCACCATAAGTAAAAATGGCTTGGGCACAGAAGCCAAAAGACAGATTGCAAAACAAAGCTTACGATAATGTCAAGTTTAATCTGCCAAATATACAAGTTGAATTTGTGGAACATGTTTTGCCTGGGTGCTGCACAGTAAACAGAGGTTTTCTTGAAATGATCAATGGGTAGGGTTAAAAATGGGTACTAGCCCCGGCCAGATGGGTGGGAATGAGGCAGGGAAGGGCAGAGAGGAGAGGCCTCAGTCAGAGGGGACTGGCCAGGGACCAGACATGACCCTCAGGGACCCAGGAGCACAGGCTCCTGGATAACAGCCTCTCTGAGTGAGCACCCAGGCAACACAGACTGGGGCTAGTTGTCACAAACTTATCAGCAGCTGCCCCTGGCACGACCACCCACTAACGTGCAATCTACTGAACAAATGGAAGCTCTTCTTACCCCACCTCCCAGGCGCCCCCCACCCCCCCAACCAGGGTTCTGAATTCTAAAAACAGCAAAAACATTCAAATGGTTACATATGAAATGCTGTCCTGCATCTTTCTGTCTCAAAGATAGCAGCTGCCCCCTCCCCCCAGCCCCCCACACCCCCCCAAACGATTTCTGTGCCAAGATGAAGAGGAGGCCCCAGGCCGTGGGGGGCTCCTGGCCATGAGGGGCTGCTGCAGCGGCACCAGGGTGCAGGGCAGGTGGCACGGGAGGGGTCCTGGCGGCACGGCCCAGCCCCTGGCCTCTCCTCCACAGCCGTGCTTACTTATTCAGTGAGAGCGACTGCATCCGTTTTCCTGACAAAGTCGCATCGTCTTTTGCTGAGGAGTGGGAGGGGAGGGCAGGAGTTAAAACAAAACAAATCCATACCTCACAACCCCCAAAACTTCATGTCTGAGAGGCTTCAAAACCCACTGTACATAGATAGCAGTAAGGCAGAGACCAGAGAAGGGCCCAGGCGGACAACCCCTGCAGGAGGAGTCTGCTGAAGTTCCAAGACCCAGGCACCTAGACATTCCTGCCGTCACTGTATCAAAAGCTGCCCTATCCACAAAGACCCACTAATATGCAATTGAGTGGGTTCTAGAAACTCCTCCCTGCATCCTGGGGAGAACCCCATAATTCCAACCTTTCCCCATGGGTTCTAATGTTAAAATCTCAAGTCAGTAACACCATTCACATAGTTACACATTAAGTCCTTTCCTGCTTAGTTTGTCAAGCAAGCTGAGTCTGGATAATCAGATCTCCAGTGTGGGTGACAATGCCCCTGAGCAACTGATTTCTCATTTCTACTCTCAGTTTCCTCATAATTTGGCAAAGAGGCAGGACAACAGGATCTCTAAGGGCTTTCAGGGCCCCAGAAGAGATGGTTAAAAAATAGAATGTAGGGGGCTGGAGATATAGCTCATTTGGTAGAGTGCTTGCCTTGCATGAACAAGGCCCTGGGTTCAAACCCCAGCACCACAAAAAAGAAAAAAGTAGAAAAAGTAGGCTGGGGCTCAGTGGTAGAACGCTTGCCTCACATGTTTGAGGCACTGGGTTCGATTCTCAGTACTGCATATAAATAAGTGAATAAAATAAAGGTTCATCAACTAAAAAAGTAAATATTAAAAAAAAAAAAAATAGACTGTAGCCAGGTTTGGTGGCACAGGCCTATAATCCCAGTGACTTGGGAGGCAGAGGCAGGAGGATTGCAAATTTGAGGACAGCCTCAGCAATTTAGTGAGGCTCTGTCAAAAAATAAAATAAAATGTCTATAAACCAACCAAGCCCCCATAGCCACCCTGACCTCCCTCTGGTAGGGCATGAGGAAGAGAGGCACCTGGGCTGGAATTCACCACCTCCCAAGCCCAATGGATGGATGATAGTGACTCCAGGCAGTTCTGGCTTCACAAGGCCCCAAAGACCTTAGCAAGACCTTCCAGCTTCAAAGGTCTGACCTGGCACTCTAAGACCTCCTGCCATCGGTGAGGCAACTGCTCTCAGTGCTCTGCTGAGACTCCACAATGCTCTGGACCCTCCAGCACCCTGAGGGGTGGTGAGCAGGGGCCTCCCTCTCTACCTGTACATGCAGAGTAAGTCTCTACTAGATAACCTGGTCAGGCAGTTATCAGTCCTCACCCACTCCCACCTCATGGATAAGGACAAAAGTAAAAGGTTTGGTGGCTTGCCCAGACAAGTCAGGTAACCATCCCTGGGACTTACCTTTCCTCTCCTCTTCTTTCTTCCTCGCTGCCTCTTCCCGCTGTTTCCGGATGATGGCCAACCGGGCAAGGTCAGCCTTGGCCTGCTCTGTCTTCCCAGCTAAATGCATTTTCATGTAGCGTTCTTTTGCTTTCTGCTTCTCTATTTCTTCTCTGTTTGGATAAAATGGTGTCTCAGGGGACATCTTCCCCACACCGTTAGCTGAGCTGGATGTAGGAGCCAGAATGAAGGCTAAGCACTCAGGACTAGGGCCCAGGTAGAAGAGGGTGCTCCAGCTGAGGGAGGGGCCTTGGCTCTGTGATCCCTGTTTGATGGACACTCAGCAAATAAGCAAGCAGAAGGAATGAGCTCAGATGGCAAACCCTGTGAGAAAGCCTTGGCATGAGAGGGGACAATGGCTGCAGCAACACAGGAAGATGCCTGATGGATTCATAACTAGAGTCTGGTGGGCACAGTGAAAAAAGCTGACCCAAACCAAATGAACTGCATGTTCTAGAGAAAATGACCTGGATCAAGGAACTGAAAATCACATTTTATAAGAAACAGATAAATAAGTGCACCACGTAAACCATAGGGCAGAGGATGAGAGCCAGAGATGGGAATGAGACATAACCTATCTCAGGTTACCACAACATCCTTACGGCAGCTCAGATTGCAAGAGGGCTGTTTCCCAAGGAGTGAGCCCCCTCAACAAGAATAAAAGCTAGACTCCATGAAACAAAGATGTCCGTAATATCCCACTATGGAGTGTGGAGATGGCCGTTAGTTTCTCTGGAGTATTTTCTTCCCAAGCCAAAGACTCTGAACTCGAGGAGATGCCCTTCAGGGTATGCAATCACAGGGTGCCATTTGCACTCATCTGGAGAAGCCAAGTGTTGAAGGAGGGAAGAGCTTGTCTGGCAGGAGAGGAGGGGAGAGAGTTGGCCTCTTAGAGGCCCTTACAGTCCACAAGGCTGGGGAGTACTGAGAAACAAGGCAAGAAGCCCAGTGAGAGAAGATGGGTGAGTAACAGCCATGAGGAGTGGGATGAGCAGAAGGCTCACCCGGAAAACTGGACAAAACAGTCTGCTACAGAACTGAGTAGATTCTCCCCCAGCAGGGATGCGCCATATTCACATACCTCTGAGTCCTCAGTCCCAAAGTTCTGCAGGGCCCCCTCAGTGAAAGCCAAGTGCCAGGCAGAGTGCTAGCCTTTATGATTATCATTTCTGCAACCCAAAAGGCAGGAGCAGCAAGGGCAGTGACTTGTGAAAGGGTGCTCTGCGGTGAAGTGGCAGAATGTGCCACTAAAGGGCACTAAAGCCCTTCTTCTCTGGGAAGACCAGCACCAGCTCAGTGGTGCAAATGGCTTTCTGGTGAAGCTACTGGAGGGGTAAGGAGATAAGGAGAGTCCTTCGTGGTCTCCAACCACATCTCAAGTTCATGGGACTTCCCTGCAGAGTTTTCATAGACATGTTCCTAGGCATCCTGGGTATGCACAGGATAGTGAACTGAAATCCTAGCAACTTGATAAGGAGAAACTAGGGCTGCTTTTCTCAGTAGACTTCCACTTCTTAAAGGCTCTGGTGGCCATCAAAAGTCAGGGCACTGGGGTTGGGGATGCAGCTCAGTGGCAGAACAGCAATACAAGATTCCCAGCACTACATATCAGAAAGGAAAACAAAACAAAACAAAAACAAACAAACAAAAAAACCCCACTTCTTATCAAGGACTTACGTAAGTACTAGATCTCAACTTTAACACAACTCATAAGGAAGGCTGCTTCATTTTCACATGGGACTCAGAAATACCCAGAACAGCTGGCTCAGCTGAGCAATACTTCCCTGCACTAGGCTGTGCTGCCTTCTAGCTAGCTCAGATCCCCCAGGCCCCATGGCCACAATACCATGAATGGATATAAACAAAACAGTAAGATGCAGCCAGAGACTAGAGGGTATCCCTTTTGTCCTTGGGCCATTACTTCAAATGCAATGTTCAGGTCGGAATCTGCTGTCTACTTCCCTTGACATGTCTCTATAGATAAACAACATGTGTTTATATATAAATTTTTTTTTTTTGAGAAGCTATTGTAGAGCCTTTGGTGGATGAAATGAAGCAGAAATAAACAAACAACATGGCTGGAGCACCCCCATACCCCAACTACCGAGCACCTCAGCAACCCCCCATCCCAGCCTGTGTGCTGTCACAAGACTTCCCAGCAGACATTACCGTTCTCTCCTTGAAAGCTCTTTTGGCCCATCCAGATCCAGTTGCGTGACCTTTTTGGTTGTCTGTGCCACCCGGTTGGGGTTCTCAATGTCGATAAGCCCTTCTACACCTTTGCGCTTTTGCTAGGACGAGGCAAGAAGCTGGTTGTTGGAGAAGTTGGGGTCCTGCAGAGCCCCTGAAAGTCATTCCCACCATCTCCTAAGAGCCCATCTGGATGGGGACAAACTCCTGTTCCACCGCCAGCCCGCAGGATGCTTGGCCCAAGTCTCAAGTGGGGACAGCACACAGGCATATCTTCACCAGCCTTAGAGAGGCAAGGAAAATGAGCATGTGCAACAAGGGCCCAATCTATGCCAACTCTAGCAACTGGGGGCTATTATCTGTTTCAGAGGCAACAGAATGAAATCTCAGGGTTAAATAACTTGCTCATGGTCAAGCATGAAGTAGACAGTAGCTCTCAACACAGAACACTACTTCCCCGCTTCCTCCAGAAGCAATTTTCCACGGAATCCCAGGCCTGATTCTTCCTCCAACATATGTTAGATCCCCAGGCAGGGTGAACCACAGATGTGTGTTCTCAGGACTCACTCCAATGCTTCCAATCATAGAAAATGAATGGGAAATGCAACTTGAGAATCAAAGTGATCATTGCATCGCAGAGTTTATGGATTTGGAAGCTGGCTCAAGAACTTAAAGCCTGTACTTCCCACCACCCCTGGGGTAGTTCAGGAAGAAACAAGAACAGTCTCCAGCAGGTTTGGTCAGTTTCAAGGTTTGACAATCCTATCTTTTCTTATGTTATATTCGTGTTTAAATTGCCACAACAAAGTTCACCATTCTGTATAATTAATATGTGCAAACAAACAAACAAACAAAATCCTATCTTTCCTCCTTAAATGACCAGGGATACAGTTCCGAATACCAATCTGACCACTCTACTGAGCTTCACATACCTCTACCCAATCTACACCTCCATTCAGACACCTGACACTAGAATGTACCTAAGACAGAACATGAGAATCACTCCTCACCTAACCTGTTCCTTCTGTCAATCTTAAGCATACCTTTGATTTCTCGTTCCTTCAGCAACCCCTAAGTATGGCCTGAATAGGTCCACTCTTATCCACTGCTACTGCCACCACCCCAGTACAAACCACAATTTCTAGACACATGCCGCCATCTCCCTGCCTCCACCCTTAACATCCTACAATTCACTGTGCACAAAGAGGCCCAAATCATCTTTTACAAACAAACCTGGTCAGTTCTCCCAATCAAGGACTCTACCAGCTGCCCATTTCCCATTGTAATAAAACCCAACCCCCTTCAACAGCTACACAGGTGCTATCCTTGCTAACCTCTCCTCATTCACCCCAAACCACTCCACTCCTTACCCAAAATTCAAAGCCTTACAGGCCCTTCCTGCTCCTTGAACTTGCCATGCTTGTTCCCACCCCAGGGCCTTTACATCTGCTAATCTGGTTGGTTGGTTAGTTGGTTGGATGGTTGGTTGGTTGGTTATTTGTTTGCTTGTATGTATTAGGGATTGAACTCAACCACTGAGCCACATCCCCAGCCCTATTTTGTATTTTTTATTTAGAGACGGGTCTCACTGAGTTGCTTAGGGCCTCGCTTTTGCTGAGGTTAGGTCTGAACTTGCAATCCTCCTGTCTCAGCCTCCCAAGCTGCTGGGATTATAGGAATGTGCCACTGTACCTGACTACACACCAGTTTTGACATGGCTGGCTCCATCTTGTTCTCATCTCAGTTTCCAAGTTACCTCATCACTATAACACTATTCTATATATCTTTCGTCACAGTGTTTTATTCATAACTCTTATCGCTACTTGAATTAATGTTGTCCATTTTTCATTTCTTTATTGTATCTCTCCATTAGAATTTAAATCCTTGGAACTGGGCGCAGTGGCACATGCCTATAATCCCAGTGCCTTGGGAAGCTGAAGCAAGAGGACTGCTAATTCCAAGACAAGCCTCAACAACTTAATGAGGCCCAATTTGGCTCAGTGATTAAGCACCCCTGGGTTCAATCCCTGATCCAAAAAAAGAAAGAAAATGTAAATCTTTGCTAGGCAAGGTGTACATGCCTGTAATATCAACTACTTGAGAGACTGAGGCAAGTTATGGTCAACCTTAGCAACTTAGTGAGACCATCTCAAAATAAAATGTTAAAAGAGCTAAGGATGTAGCTCAGTGATAGAGTGACCCTGGGTTCAATCCCCAGTACCCCACCCTACCACACAAAAGAAATGAAACTCTTAGGAGCAAGAACTTTGTCTGCATCTACTATGAGGACTGGGAGTAAATAGTTCTCAAAATATGTCTATTGAATGAGCCCAAACTCAGTACCTGGTAGTCATCATCTTCATCCTCACTCTCATCTGAGTCTAAAGATTTCTTCTCCTTTTTGGGGTCACCTGCAGCCCCATCACCACCTTCTTCTTGTTCCTCTTCTTCCTGTTCAGAAATGGACAACCTGCAGAATCAAAAATGCAAAACAAACCCCCAAGACTGTGACCCCCTACCACCACACGACGGTGAACTTTGACATTAAACCTCTGGAACGCTGTGACCAAGCATGACAAGGAAACTATTCTGTGCTCCTGGCCCAGAATAGGGGACTTGGGTCAGACAGGTAGCTTGTCTATTCAGCATTATGGCCTGGAGGCCCGTCCCACAATCCAGTGAGCCCCATGCACATCTGCAAAAGGCCCTGCTCCTTGCAGCCACCTTGGACAGCCTGGCAAGAAGTTAATCACTCAAGGTCATAAAACCCCAGCTATGGGGTTAAAAACCAGCTGTCCCACCTGTTGCACATACTGCCAAATTGTACTGGCTTTCCTGGGCAAGTACTCCCTGGTTCTACAATCCTAATTGGTCCTGCCCATGTACCACCCTGCTGCACCAGCTTCCCAAGATCACACCTTAGCACGTGGCCTTCTTCCACATTTCTTGCCTTCCCATCAAAAAAAAAAAAAAAAAAAAAAGATAAAAACCTTATATCCTTCTACTCATAGCACTTCCTCACACCTTCTTCAAGGTCCTTCTCAGCTGCCAACTCTACAATGAGGCTCACCCAGACCTCTCCACCTAGAGGTGTTCTCTGCTTTCTTGCGGGTTCTGGAGGCCTGACTGTGCTCTCTTGGGCTCTGAATTCAAGCACAGATCTATGGTGTGGTAGGGGACGTGGACACCAACAACAGGCTGGACAAAGTACTGCAGGACAAGAGGGGATAGACAGTATGGACTGGAGGGCATGTGGGTAGCACCAGCAAGATCACAGAGATGGTGATGTTGAACAGAGCTGGGAGCAAAGAGCACACTGGGGATGTGGAAAGGTAGGGCAGCATGCTGTGCTGAGTATGGCAAGCAGTCCCACAGGATGCATCAGAGAAATGGTGGGCTGCTAGGGAACTCAAGCTCCAGAAGGACAGAAGCCAGTAGACAGTCCCCAGAAGGCAGGCACACTAAGCAACTACTGCCAAGTGGACCAAGTTCTTTCTAATAGAGCCAGTCACGGGATGGTCTCCCTCTAGTATGGCTGGTTACCAGAATTCACATCTGCTGTCCACTACCTTCCCCACACCCACACTGGCTTACCCTTAGTCCTCACCTGGCTTCTATGGGAGCCAAAGAGGCCAGGCACCACCCTGAACCACTGGAGTGGCTGGACAGACTATATGTACTCACCCTGGCCTTCTGCTTTTCAGCCTGGAGCTGGGCGTCGATCTCCTCAGGGCTTGTATACTGCCTTGCCCGGCCTTTGTGGCCTCCCTTTCTCCCTGAACAAGGAGCAGTTTAGGAAGATAAGAGAAAGTAGCTGTCCTGATTACCTTAACCCACCTCCCCACAAAGGGCTGTGACCTATTTGAAGCACTCCCATTAGAGGCTACAGCTAAGCACCAACCAAACCTGTACCTCCCTCACCCTCATGTGTTCAAAGGGACACAAGAAGCAACTCATGACAAGTAGATGCAAACTGTGTGATGAATGCAAGATCCCATAAATAAATCTTGAGGACATGTGCATGGCACAGAATAACTAACTAAATCCCCTGGTCCCTTAGAATTAAAACACAGTAGACTTAGATGCAGGCATAAAAACATGTAATATTTATACCTCTGCTGTCACTAAGGGACTTTTTACTTGCAATGTTGTCACAGCCATGGGCTCATTTGGTCCTCAGAACAAACCTGTGGTTCAAGAGGCATTGCTGGTTTCATTTTGTAGACAAGGAGACTTAAGATCAAAGCAGAATGTGACGAGTAAGAACTTTGGAGTCCAAAACCTGGGTTCCAATGCCAGCGCTACCACTTCCCTAGATTGTGACTTTGGGAAGGTATTTAACCTCCTGAGTAGCAGTTTCCTCACTTGAGCCCCTACTTATAGGGCTGCAATGAAAATGGATTAACTAACATATGCAAAGCTGGCAGAAGGTGCCTGGCACTGGATAAGCACTACAAATGTTTGATAAGATTGTTATTTTTCTTTTCTTTTAGCTTTATTTTATTCACTTATTTTTATGTGGTGCTGAGGATTGAACCCAGGGCCTCACACGTGCTAGGCAAGCATTCTATCACTGAGTCACAACCGCAGCCTTGATTGTTACTTTCCTAATACAGCATTTGATGGGAAAACAATAACCAAAATTTAAAAAACATTTAAAAAAACAAAACCCCCACTTTACGGCAAATGTAGGAAGAGAAAAAAAATATTTCATAGTGGTTCAGTATAAAGAGAATACTTAAGGAGAAATGACCCCAAAACCTGTCAGCAAAAACTCCAGTTGGAGCCAGGCATGGTGGCATACACCTGTAATCCCAGTGGATTGGGAGACTGAGGCAGGAGCATCAAAGGTTCAAAGCCAGCCTCAGCCATGGTGAGGAACTAAGCAACTCAGTGAGACCCATTCTCTAAATAAAATACAAAATAAGGCTGGGGATGTGGCTTAGTAGTCGAGTGCCCCTGAACTCAATCCCAGATATGCAACTCCCCGCCCCCCCAAAAAAAACTCTACTTGAAATTCACCTGGCAAAATTAAAGGGGAAACTAAAACTAACTATAATCTGAGTTAAAAATGTGACTAGCAATGAAAGTTCACCTAAGAATGAGTTTTGTATCCTGACCCTCTAGAGCCATAACACTAGACTGTGCCAAAACCATCTGCATTTTAAAGCAGGGCATCATTCCCTCTGTTGGTCCTAGAGGATGAAGAGGTGGGTGTAGCCTCCATCCCACCACAGGATCTCTCCTAAAAGCTGAGACCCATCTGATTTCCAGAGGGTTCCTCACTGTGAGCAGAAAATCACTAATGAGCAGCCAGAGTTGCTCCAGACTCTTGAGACAGTAGCAGAGATACTGCCTCCTTTGATTTCCTAGACAGCAGCTGCAGAGCCATAATTGGGTTGCTACAGCCCACACCACCCATTTTTAATGACTACCTGGGTTCCCAGGAGTATCTAAGCTATATGCATGAAAGGCCTATTGTGAGACCAAGCTTGTTGTTAAAAAAAAAAAAAGGCAAGATCCTTTCTTGCCCTCTTAATATTTCAGGCAATGGTAATAATTCAAAATTGGTTATTACAGGCTCTCATCCACTACACTTGGCTATGACATACTGACTTTGGCTTGCTCTACTGTAACTTTTATCAGAGGCACTTCAAGACTTTTTTTTTTTTTTAATAAAAAGCACAATTGGGTCCTTTGCTCTTGGAGAATTTCATATTCTTAACACCTTCATGTTTTCTTATGCTGTTTCAAGTAAATTAACCCAAGCAAGAAAAACTCGTCAGCCTGCAAAGTTTTTCACAAAAGACCAAGTGAGTTAGCCATGAATTCATATTTAAAATGTTCTAGTTGTATCCTCCAACCCTGGAACCAGTAAGTCTCAGATGAAAAGTGTAGGGAACCTAAGACACTGGCTCTCCCAGTGTCACAATAAATCAGCAAAGAACTACGTTTAAATAGATTCAGCTCTGTAAAGCCTGAATGTAGAGTCGGAAAATAATTTAGGTTTGACAAATTCCAGGCAGATGTTCCTGTGGGCTGAGTGCATTAACCAGCATAACATGTAAGGTACCAACATTAACTGAACATCTGTTCTTTGCCAGGAGCTAGGCAGGCACTTTGCCATTTTAGTCAGGCATTCAGTTATAGCCAACTCGCCAAGCTAACAATTATCACTCTGGTATTCTAGAGGAAGGGGAAAAAAGGTGGAAAGTTAAATAAGTTCAAGGCCACAGAATTGGACTATGGTACAGCGGAGATTCAAAAGAAAGACGATCGGTTCTGAAAGGGAAAAAGGATGGAAGATGGCCTACAACGTACTGGGAAGCCATAAACCTTCAAGAGCAAGCCAAACTCTGCAGCAAACAGTGATAGCTAATGCCTACTGTGCACTTAACGACTGCTCGGCACTGTATTGAGCACTCTACGTGGATTACCTAGTTTAAGTCTCTCATCGGTACTATGAGGTAGATGCAATAGTAATTTCTCGTTTGCAAATGAAAAAATTGAGACACAAAGAAGTTACATGACTGGGTCGAAGGCACACGCTCAGCTGCTACGAATGCGGGCATGAAAGCCCGGTCTGCTAGGCTCCACAGCATCACGTTAGGTCTTACTAGGCAGGCCTGGCTGAGCCGGAGCCTGAGAAGGCCCACACTTTACGCGCGAGGCAGGCAGGCCCGGCACACACGCGGGACGCGGTGACTCAGTCTCCGGGCAGCCTGGCAGTGGGAAGAAACTCCAGACCACCAGGCTCGGAGAAGGGCGCCAGTGTCCGGCTTTCCGGGCCGGCGGGAACCAGGGCCTCTGAGTCGCCTGAGACCCGGGAGGGAGTAGCTCTGGACCACCACGGCCCCCAGTTTCCCCACCGGGACAATCGGGCGTCGCGGGCCGGGCCTGGCTCTCAGCCGGCGCCGACGGCGTCCCTTTGCGCCCCTCTGCTAGAAGCCCGCGGGCTGAAGGGGCAGCGGAAGCCGGCCCCAGGAAGCCCCGCCAGGACCGCGGGCCACGCGCACCGGCCCCTCACCTCCTTTAGGCATCGCGTCTCCGGCGGCTGCGGCGGCGGCGCCTCGAACTGACACCGGAACCGGAAATACCTTGTGTTCGACTTCTTCCGCCCGGCCCAGTTCCCTCCACGCGCCGCCGCCGCCGCCGCCGCCGTCGCCGCGAGGACCGGGACCTCACGGAGGCCGGCTCACGAAACCCGACTGTCTCGCGAGTCGCCTGAGTTTAGTTCCGCCTACATACTGCCGGGCTACAGCGCCCCTACTCTCCCCGCCTGGGGAAACGCGAAGCTGTGCGGGCCACCTTCCGGGAAGTGAGGGCAAGGGGCGACAGCGGCGCCGGAATTCTATACAGGCAGCGCTTCGGACACCTACCGTGACGTAATCTCCGCGCGAGGTGGGGCGGGGCTCCACGGGGGCCTCACCCTGAAAAGACCCCCGAGGGGCGGAAGCCGTCAATAGAGAAGCGGCGGCCCTAGGTGCCTTGGTTTCCGGTGAGTGTTTTTTTCTGTTCTGAAGTATTGTACTTTGTCACCTACAGCCTGGGACGACAGCTGAACTGGCCGGGAGGGCAATCTGAGGGTCTGGACTGAGAGGCCGGAGTCGGCGCCTTTTTCGATCTGCCGAGGTCATGGTAGATATGAGGTCTTCTTTGCCTCTTGGCTTTTCACGCCGTTTTCTCTGCCGGAGCTGTTTTCTGATTACTGCTTGTTTTTCTAGGCCGTTAAGATCCCGTCCTCTTTGTGAGCCTTCCCTACTTTCTGGCTGTAATGTCTTCACTCCCCCTCGCCTCTTTTCCAGCCTTTGTATACCGCCCACCACTTCTTTTCTCTTGGTCTGCTTACCCCGCTAGAGCCCTCCTTTGAATCCCAGATTGGGCCAGGGCCCTCGAATTTCTCTGGATCAGAGGAAAGTGATGCTCTTGCTACCGACTCTGCGCCGTGGGGCAGGGATCAGAGTCCATCCATCTTTAACTTCTGTGCAGGACCACCGATTTAGGAATCAGGATCCCCTAATCAGAGTCAGACTTTGACAGTTTCCAGTTGTGCAACTCTGAGACCACCTCTTAGTTTGATTCCTCGTCTGTAAGTTTATGGAGAGATTATGAAAAGAGGCGCTCAGGAGTAGGGGGTGAGACCTTATAAAGGGATCACAAAGTGAGACAGACTCAATGAGTTTGGGAGACATGAGTCTCCTATGCTTAAAGATAAGAGATAACCTGAGCTCTCCTTGCCAACTAGGAAATGCTATGTAGTCTGAAAAATATGCTTTGCTCTTTAGATTTGGACTTGCCTATTGTACGGACTTTACCTGACTTTATAGAACACGTTCCTTGGATCTGAACGTGACTTTGGCAATCAGCTAATCTACTCCCTAATTTTACAGATAAGACTGAAGACCAAAGAGGGAAAGTGATCTCTCCAAAGTCACTAAATAATTGGTAGCGCTAAATAAGAATCTAAGCCTGTAACTGCAGAGACCAAAGAGCTTTCTATTACACTCCTGGGAAAGAAATACTAAGGTACTGTGGCTTTATAGCCATCTTTTCCCTTTTAAACACTCATCCGTTTTCCTCCCTCAGTTGTAGCCCTCACACTGTATTGTAATTGCCTTTTCACTTGTCTTTGTCTCTACGATAAGGTCACCTTCTAAGAGGCAGGGGCTGTGTTTTAATTGCTTATTCTGTATTCCCAATAACCAGTACAAGCCCAGGATGTAGTTGATGTTAGTTAATAACAACACAGTCTGTTAAGCACACTACACACCAGGCATGTTACGTTATAACATGAATTATAATAATTCACAATGATCCCATAAGGTAAGGTCTGTTAACCCCATTTTACAGATAAAGAAACCAAGATTTAGGGAGGTTAAGTAGCTTTCTAAAAATCACAATGAATAAGTAGAAGAACCAAGATTTGAACCCAGGCAGTCTGGATGTTGAGCCGCCCCCTCCCCCCATAGTTACTACCCTGGGCCACTTCAAGGAAGTGAATGTTTTTCCAAAACAGTGGCTGGCAAAGGCCTTGGGTAATCTGAGACTCAGAAACCAATGTATTTAATTTTCCTGCTCCAGGTCTTTGTACATTATCTTGTGGGAGGAAAATGCCTAAAGTCAAAAGAAGCAGGAAAGCTCCCCCAGATGGCTGGGAGTTGATTGAGCCAACACTGGATGAATTAGATCAAAAGATGAGAGAAGGTGAGTGGGGTGCTTCTGTAGTGGGCTGACAGAAGGTTGTGGGCTTAGGTACCTCTGGGGCCAAGCACAAATTCAGTATAACAACATAACATTGGCATGCTTTGTGTATTAAGTCAGAATGCTGAAAGTGCTAGAAATAACATTGATGAAATTGTCTTCGAAAAAGTTGTTTTAACCAATGTGAATACAAAGCTTGAGGGAATATAGGTCAAATAATCTAACCTATTTACTATTTTGGTTGTGTATTTAAAATCATATATAGTTACTTGAAAATGCTACTCTTTAGGAAACATCTTTACTCACTTTCTTGTGACGTGGGTCTTTGACACTATTTTCTTCATCAGTCTTTCCGTCATCTAGGAGTTTCCTAGACTGCACCATTGTTCTTCCCTCTGTGTGATCTTGCACTTTGTGAACCCATGTAATATGCTATCTTTGAAGTCTTTATCTGAAGCCACAAGTCTGGATTACCATTTAAAGCAACTGTTTTTGTGGTGCTGAGATGACATCTAGGATTTTGTACATACTAGAGAAGTGCTCTACCACTGTCCCCAACCCCTAAAGCAACCTTTTAAATGCTTGTTTAAAACAAATCAAACCACTGTTATTATGAGGTCATACCTCCAGCAATCATTACTAAATCAATGTTAAAATACTTTGCTTCCTGTTTTCACAACTAATGGTGCTAGGTAGCTTCTATTAAGTCCCCAGAACTTGCTGTAATCAAGGTCATTATGGACTGAAAGATTTCTTGTCCGAACAGCTCTATGTCAAGTAAAGATAAGGGAAATGGGAGTGAGCTGGAATTTAAAAAACAAAAACAAAAAAAACTACTCCTCTTTTAGGGAGTGATTTTTTTTTTCTTTCTTTCTTTTGGTGGTACAGGGATTGAACCCAAGACAAGGGTTGACTTTGAGAGGGTCAGTTTACCTTGTATTTAGACGTGGATTTTTTTAAAAATTTTTTTCTTTTTTTAGTTGTATTTGGACACAATACCTTTTTATTTATTTTATGTGGTGCTGAGGATTGAACATAGTGCCTCATATGTGCTAAGTGAGTGCTCTACCACTGAGCCACAGCCATAGCCCCTACTTTTTTTTTTTTTTTTAAATCTCCAAAACAAAGTAGTCCTTCTTATGGAATTTATTTATTTAAACTCAAGGGTGCTTAACTGCTGAGTCATATTCCCAGCTCTTTTTATTTTTAAGACAGGGTCTCACTAAGTTGCTGGGGAGGCTGGCTTTGAACTTGTGATCATCCTGCTTCAGCCTCCATAGCTGCTGGGATTACAGGCATGCACCACCTAGCTCGCTCTCTCATTTCTATTTGTTACAGTTTTTCAGCATTTCTTGGCCCTCTCATTGTTGATAAACACATAAGCTTCAGACCTAGTTCATATTATTCTTATTTCCACTGTAACAAAAATCCAAGTGTGTGTGTGGGGGAGAGGGATATATATATATCTGGCTTTAGTGTTGGGAACAAACACTTCTCTGGGGACAAAGCAGACTGGAGAAAGGCAAAAGCTACAGCCTTAGAGTTGCTTTCACCATATGAGAATGCAGGCTTAGCACTTCCAGACCTGCCAAATTGAAAGTCAAGGATGGCTCCATGACTCTGCCAGAGAAAGGATTAGCTTCAGGATGAGCAAATGAGGATTTCAGGTCTAGATGGTTCAAATCCAAAATGTTGTTGAGAACCAAGATTATCCAGATGTACAGGGTATGGCACTTTGTCTTCCCCACTGCCATTCCTTGAGCACCTAGAGCAAGGCCTCCCCACAGCAAGCACATAGGCTCTCTGAGTCTTTCATACCTATCTTTTTGCTTCAGTCACAGAATTGTTTGTTGAACTGAATTATAAAAACTGAGTAATAGAATGGCTTACAAGTTGGTTGGAAAATAGAGGTATAGTTTTCTTGATTGCTTCTTGCCTTTCCTTTGCCCTAAAAACTGAGAGGAGGTAATAGACAAAGATCGACTGGTAGTTGCAAAGACAGAAAACTGCCTTGCAGCAGGTGTGAGTTCCCTCTGATTTATGTGCATTGGAGGAGATGTCTCCTTCACACCTTCTGTGCTGAAAACCTTCAGGCTGATCATTTGTTTTGGCTCTTCCTAAGCAGTAAAGGATTTTGGCTGGGAAATGAAACTGGAGGTACCTCAAGGATGATTAGATCAGAATGAACATCTGTAGGACCAGGATTACTTTGAGAATTTATGATGCTATAGAAAGAGATCCAGAGAGACAGACTAACCAGGGTGTTAACAGAGGTTATTGTTGAATGATTTTTTAAAAAATCTACATTTTCTTATTTATCTAGTTTAAAAGACTAAATTTTTTCAAAAATATGTTCCAACTTTTTCTTTTTAAATTACTTTATTAATATAAATCACATACTATAAATTGACCCTTTTAAAATGTATGTTCAGAGACCTGTGCAGCCATCACCACCCTCAGTTCTACCTTTGTATGAATAGACTACACTTTGTTTATTCATTGCCACCCCACACACACACACACACACACCAGGGATTGAACCCTGGGGCGCTTAACCACTGAGCTGCCTCCCCAGCCCTTTTTTGTATTTTATGTAGAGACAGAGTCTCACTAAGTTGCTGAGGCTGGGTTTGAACTCGAGATCCTCCTGCCTCAGTCTCCCAAGCTGCTGGGATTACAGGCGTGCACCATCGCACCCAAGTGTTTAATCCATTCTTGAGTCGATGGACATTTGGGTTGTTAGTACTTTTTTTGGCTTCTACAAATATTCTCGTATAAGTCTGCACATACATGTATATTTTCAGTAATCTTTGGTGTGTATCTAAGAGTTGCTGGGTCATATGGTAACTCTTTAGGTTTGACTTCTTTTGTATTTTTGAGGGATTTAAACCAGGGGTGCTTTACCACTAAGCTACATTCCCAGCATGCGCATGCACGCACGCGCGCGCACACACACACACACACACACCACCTTTTTTTGTAGTTGTAGATGGACAGCATACCTTTATTTCATTTGCTAATTTTTGTATGTGGTGCTAAGGCTTGAACCCAGTGCCTCACACATGCTAGGCAAGCACTCTGCCACTAAGCCACAGCCCCCACAGCCCTTTATTTAATCTTTGAGGCAGGGTCTTCATCAGTTGCTTGGCTGGCCTCAAATTTGTGTTCCTCTTGTTTCAGCTTCCTGAGCTGCTAGGATTACAGATACGCACCACAATGCCCATATATATTTAACTTCTTGAGAAATTGTCAGATTGTTTTCCACAGTGGCTACATTATTTTATATTGCCACCAGCGGGGTATGGAGTCTGATTTCTCCACGTTGTCCCTAATACTTGTTAATGTCCTTCATTTTGATTATAGCCATTTTAGGGGGTATAAAGTAGTATTCATTCATTATATGTAATTATTGGAAAACAAAACATTATCCTGTGTAGACTAATTCTGCTCCTCAAAACAAACATACTTTTTTTCTTCCCAGCTGAAACAGAACCTCATGAGGGAAAGAGAAAAGTGGAATCTCTGTGGCCCATCTTCAGGATCCACCACCAGAAAACCCGCTATATCTTTGATCTCTTTTATAAGCGGAAAGCCATAAGCAGAGGTAATTGGCTAAATTCTCTCTTGACCCTTTAAACTTTCAGAATTAAGTAATGATTCTCATGCTTGTAGCCTCAGCAAGCACCATGAATTTTTTTTTTTTTTAATCACTAAAAATGGGCAAATTTTTCTTTTTAATCAAGGGTGGAGGCAGGTTTTTTACACCATGGTCTGATATCCTTTCCCAATCTTTTGACAGAACTCTATGAATATTGTATTAAAGAAGGTTATGCAGACAAAAACTTGATTGCAAAGTGGAAAAAGCAGGGATATGAGAACTTGTGCTGTCTGCGGTGCATTCAGACTCGGGACACCAATTTTGGAACTAACTGCATTTGCCGGGTTCCTAAAAGCAAGCTGGAAGTGGTAATGCCTGATGATCGAATTTGACATTGTTTTCACTTCAAAACTCTGCCCTAATTGACTCCAGGGGGGCTTATAGCATTTGGTTTGGCTGGAATGCAGTTTTGTCACTAGAATCCTGCTGGCCATCCCTCCCAGGAATGAGTTCCCTGTTCAGGGATGGGGCTTAGAAATCTTGTTAAGTCTGGGGCCAGCCTCAACTCCACCTTTGGGCAAATAACAATCCCTTTCCTTATTTAGGAAGTGGTGGTGCAATACCTACCTCTGAGGTAGTGAGAAACAGTATTAGGAAAGGATGGCTGGTCAGTAGGAGTTCCTGTCCCTTTCCCTTCAATCCACTTTAATGTCACCACTTATTTCTTATCAGAACTTTCTGTTTGACAGCTAGGCAGGGCACCCCAGGAATGGTGCTGTGTGTGTAACAGGACCTGAGCCCCTCTTAAATGAAGCTGCAGAAAAAGGCAGGCATTAGATATTGGCACTTACTTACCAATTAAGTAGTCGTGTCCTGTAGCCCCTTGGCCAAGTTATTGGCTCAGCTAGAGGTCAGGCCAGATGACCCAGCTTGTCCTTTTTTCCTCCTAGCTTCCCACAGGCGCCTTATTCCATGGTATCCTTTATGCTGCAGTGAGTTCCTAGAGCTTTGGCTCAGAGCCGAGGGCTGTAACACAGTGGCTAGCTCTGCCTGCACCATGTGGAAGCTCATGCATGGGCATACTCAGCAGTGGGAAGGGCTGGCTCTGGAGGGAAGGCTGTGTTGTGAGCATGATGAGGGCAGGGGTGGCAGAGAACCAGAAGTCTCTGTCTTCTGAGAGCCCCAGGATTCCACAGGGGTGTTGTGACAGAGGTACTGCATCAACCTAGCAGAGGCTACCTTCAACTTGGCTGAGTTTCAGCAGAGGATTTTGTTTGCTTAGACTAAACTCTTGTTCCTCAAAAAAAGAACTGGAAAAATAAAATTAACATAAACCACTGCTCTAGGGCCTTTAGTCTGCTGGGCAGACCCCAGCCAGACACTGGGCATTTGGGATAAGACTCTCCTGTAAGCCACAGAAACTCAAGTGTATACCTTTCTGCCCCAGTGTCCTAGCAGAGAGGAACCTTGAGACCCCTGGCATGAGCCCTCTGAGCAGTGGCACCTGCCTCAGCTCACTGGTAGAGTAATGAGACTCATCCACACAGATTTTTTTCCTTTTTGACAATTGTGTATGTTGAATTTATGTATTAAATGCACACAAATATAACTTCAGTGTGAAGAGTAGCATTTCCCATTTTCATGAGGGAACTGAAGTTCCTCTGTCCAGAACTAATCCAGCAAAGGTTTCTGAGATGTGTTCTGCAGGAAATACACTGTGTTCTGCAGGAAATACACTTCTTAGACGGAGGGTCAGGGTATATGGGTGTGCGACCAGGTGCAGTAGCTTAGCTGTGCTCTGTTGCAGGGGCGCATCATCGAGTGTACACACTGTGGCTGTCGGGGCTGCTCTGGCTGAGGCCATAGGCCTGGCCCCTCTCCACCCTGGACTTTGGACCTTGCAGGCTTCTGCATATCCTGCCACGGCTTCTTGGGAACAGCTCTTCTCAGCAGTGCCTCAGGCGTGAGTTGGAGCACCTCTACAGGTGAAGGCTTTGGTGTTCACCAGATGTGATTTGTAAAAATAAAACGTTGAAACCTCTTGGGCCTTATGTCCATTCTTTGAGAGTAACAAACTGGAACCTGGTAGGAAAATGCCAGGCCCCAGGGAACAGACACCTCTATGCTTAGTCCTGGCTCCATCTCATACGTACTGTGTGACCACAAGTCACACAGCAGTGATGGGCTGACAATCTCTCAGGTGAAATTGATCTGAGATGATGTGTAAAGATTGCTCTTGGACCTGCTGTGGCAGGTGCTCTTGGGCACCCTGGGCCCAGTGTTTGTCCTCATATCTGTACCCATAAAATGCTGCATTTCCAACTCAAGAAAGGTGACACCAGCATGTTTGCTTGTCTTTATCATGGAAAGGACTCCCAGGACTCCCATCAGGCACCAAGGTCCAGGCACTTTGTTCTAGCTGTGCATTCTGTTACCTGCCCCCAAGGACTTCATCCACACCAGCATCCCTGATAGTGTCTCTTTTGGGCTTGGTCCGGAACTCCTGCCAGGGGTGGGGGGTTTCCTCTGCTGGCATCACTTTCAGCCACTGCTTATAATAAGCTCGGAAGCCATCGATCTTCTCCAAGTACGTGTTCTTCCCTTTGTACTGTAATTGGAAAAGCATGGAATTCAGGGGAGTCCTGGTGATCAGAATCACTGTATATCGTCTACAGCTATTCTCATACCCCAGCAGCTGGCTCAGTCCTTGGGGAAGCTGTCCCTACTGTTCTTGCTTCCAGGAGACTACAGGGGACAGGGAAGAATATAACATGAGCATTGCCACCATTAAGGAAGAAATTCCAGCCAGGTATGGTGGCAGACACCTGTAATCTCAGTAACTCAGAGACTGAGGCAAGAGGATCTTAAATTCAAAGCCAGCCTCAATAATTTAGCAAGGCCCTTAGCAACTTAGCCAGAAAAAGTCTAAAAATGAAAAGGGGCTGGGGATGTAACTCGGCAGTAAAATGCTCCTGGGTTCAATCCCCGGAACTGACATATATACATACATACATAAATTAATTCAAAGTAATTATATGTGGCAGGCTATCTGTCCACTATCTGTCCAACAGTCATTTTTCTTCCTGAATGTGTACTGTACTGTTCCTCAATCCATAGATGTCACAGAGCCCCCAAATGAATTGCTGGGTCCCCCCAATTCTACCTTCTCCAGAACAGAGCCTCCGACTCCCTTCTAACTTATCACCTTGGGACTACTGAAGCCATCTCCACAGAGGGCTGATAAGAAAAGGAGAAACAAAATACACCAGGTACTGTAAGAACGTAGGGGATGGAGGACAAAATAGGCAAAAGAAAAGAATGATCAGAGATACAGAGCATTACCACATATGATATAAGGTTTGATTAAAAAGATTGTAGCAGGGCTGGGGATGTGGCTCAAGCATACGTGCCGCCCGGGTTCAATCCTCAGCACCACATACGAACAAAGATGTTGTGTCCCATGGAAACTAAAAATAAATATTAAAAATTCGCTCTCTCTTTCTCTCTTTAAAAAAAAAAAAAAAGATTGTAGCAATTCTGAACTTGAATACACCTAATATAGCCAGAGAGAATACAAAAAGCAAAACCTGACAGTCACAAACAAATATAAATAATTTTATATTTCCATAATTCGGAGTCTATGATTTGAATATAGGAAACTTTAGGCCTCAGGGTGTCTTGTGATTGTTGAAGATTCCTAGTGGCAGAGATGATCCACTAACCAGAAATTATTTGCAACATGCAACTGAAAGAATAGTATCCAGAACTGGGCTGGGGTGTAGCTCAGCTGGTAGAGCACTCACCTCCCATGCACAAGGCCTGGGGTTTGATCCCCAGCACCACAAACCAACCAACCAACAACAACAATAAAAAACTAGTATCAGAATATATCAACTCAGGAATCCATGGGAAAGAGTCAAGATGCCTAGGTACACCCTCTGCCTGGTATATACCCTGCCCTGTCTTGAACATTCCTACCCAGCTTTCAAAACAGCACTCAAGTGCCATTACTGGCAAAGTGTCCCTGAGCCCCTGGTCACATGGCTCAGCATGCCCTTGCCCATTTACTGTCTCTCTCCAGGCCACGACTGCCCTGGATGCTCTGTCTCCACAGGGTCTGCATAAATCCAAACACCAGAGCCTGATATCCTGAGAGCAGCAGCAAGAGAGATGTCCATTATCAAACAAATCCCATCACTACCTGCTGCTGTCCACCCACTAGACAGAAGTCTACTAAGCACCAAGCAATATGCAGGCACTTGGAACCCAGGTAGACAAGGCAGACCATCTCCACCTCTAGAAGCCTAGGATTTAGGAAAGGCAAAAATCACAAAGAACGGACACCATGGCATAAAAACCAAGGGCTGTGCTGGATACAGTGACACACACCCATGATCCCAGCAACTTTAGAGGCTGAGGCAGGAGGATTACAAATTCAAGGCCAGTCTCAGGAACTTAGTGAGACTCTCTCAAAAATAAGAGAAACTGGAAAGCTGGGGGTGGTGACGCACACCTGTAATCCCAAAGGCTCAGGAGGCAGAAGCAGGAGGATTGAAGGTTCAAAGCCAGCCTCAGCAAAAGTGAGGCACTAAACAACTCAGTGAGACTCTGTCTCTAAATAAAATACAAAATAGGGCTGGGAATGTGGCTTAGTAGTCAAGTACCCATGAGTTCAATTCCTGACACCAAATAAATAAATAAATAAGACTTGGGATTTAGCTCAGTGGTAGGGCACCCCTGGGTTTAATTACCAGCCCCAAAATTATAAATAAGGGAACAGAGCTATATGTTGGGAGATGGGGAAGGCAGCAGCTGGGCACCTCTGAAAAAGGGCTATTTAAGCAGACCTATGGGAGAAGGACCTAGAGGAGTCACAAATATACTGAGGTAGGAAAGAGGAGAATGGGACTCACTATCAATAATGGGAAGACATGTCTGCCCTTGAGAGAGCCACACAAACAAGGACTCACTAGGTATGGCCTAAGGGCTTTAGGATTTCTCTAAAGAGAAGCTGCTGACATTTTAAGCAAGGAAATGCCAATCCCAAAAGGTCAGAAGCAGGAACAGCAATGATTAAGGAGACAATGAGCATTTCAGAGCTTGGTGCACATACCCTGTCAAAGGTGGGTGGGTACTCAGCTGCAAACTCCAGCTGGCGGATGACCACTTCATTCACCGGGACCCTGTTATGCTTCATGTCCTTCAGGATGTCAATGAGATAGGTGTAGTCCAGCTTCTTGAGGGCTGCATTGATGAGAGTGCTGTAGATGTGGGTGTTGGGGGTCATCTGGGATTTCTAGAACACCACGGATATCACACAATTAGAAAGATGATATTTGTTAGGACAGAACAGTCTGCTGTGGCTGTCTTGTGGCAGCTACTAGGAATGCAATGTGGAATCTCATAGCAACAATAGGCTGTCCTCCCCCTCCAAAAGGAAGGCATGTGTTCTCCCTGAAGAACTGAGATAACTGACAGGCAGAGAAGGAGGCAGGAGGCAACCACTTTCTCACTCGTGGATGAGTTTTCTGGTGACAGACAAGTGTGGTCATCAGAATGTGGTGGTCAGCCTAGAAAAGCAGCCAGCATTGGCTGGGTGACACAACAGTGAATACAAACATCCCAGGAAGTGGCGCTCTGCTGTGATCAGGTGAAATCCATTTAGCAAGGTCCCTCTGCAGTGTCAGGTCCCAGACCTGTCCCCCACCTCTCCATCTTCCAGACAGGAATACCCTCTGCTTTCTGTACTAATTCTCACAGTGGCTCACCAAGATCAACTTGCTCTAAAATGGCCATTCAGCAGCAGAAAGGAGCTATCCTACTTGCCCTGCCCCAGTGCAGAGGCCTGGGGCCCACTATTCCCTGGGACTCCCAATTCGCCCACAGATTTTCTTCCTAAGCACCCAAGTGTTCCCCAGAACCACAGGCACCCTACTTGGGCCTAAGTCCCCTCACCTTCATGTCTGCAAGCAGCTGCAGACCATCCCTGGGCCTACGACACCCAATGGCCAGGTTGCAGAACGTCTGTAGGTTGGGGATAATTCCCCTTTTTGCCAGGACTGGCAACAGCGCCTGTGAGGGCAGACATGTCATTGTAACTTGTGACTTGTGACCCACCAACCCTGCTGAGGCCTTCCCATGAAGCCCTTGGCTGGATGCTGAAGACTCCAAGGGCACAGCTCTACTCAGAGGCTTCATGGCTCCCTCTGCTGACAGCAAAGTGTCTCTGGCCCCAGCTCAGCACTCTAGGTCCAAATACTGCCCAGTTTTCCTTGCAGGACCCAGCTCCTCAGCATGTGCACCCTGACTGCCAGCCTACTGTCCCTTCTCCATGATTGCCCTTCATATCCTGCCTCCCACCTGCTGCCTCCAGCTTCTCAGCCAGCCAATCAGTCTGAGGACAAGCTGCCTCAGCGGCTCAAGATTCAGAGCAGGAGGCAACGCTGCCCACAGTGGGAAGTGCTGGCTGAGGGAGCGCCAGGCCTGGTATGAAGAAGAGGATGTCCCCTCAGCCTGCCTGAGTCAGGATGGACCACTGGGGAAGGGCTCTGTCATATTTAACTTGTTCACTGTGGGCATGAAGGCAGAGGCAACATCTGTCACCTTTGACTCTCACAAATGCCCAGGGCAGTACTTCTGGCAAAAAAAAAATCACACAAAATCTCTTTATATGAATGGCCAAAACCCTGTCAAAAGCCCCAACACCTCCACCTGTGAAGCCATGCACATACAAGTCATGCCTCCTGATTTGCTCAGTAGAGAAATGAATAGATGTGACGCTCTGAGAAGTGTCCAGAGTGGAGGGAGTGCAGCCTTGCAGTGTGTAGGGTGAGGCCACTCGGGCTCCAGTGCCGGGCTGAGTGGCACCGCAACCCTGTTTCCATCATATCTCCTTATCAAGGTGATGATGACATCTCCCTTCCCCACCAATCTGTGAGCTCCATGAAGATGGCAGGGGATAGCAGGGGTGCACCTGGCTGGCTAGTGGCTCAATTTCCAGACTCACCAGGGCCGGACCTGGAACAGGGTTCCAGATACAGATGAGCCACATTCCACAGTCCAAGGGTCAGGAACAAAGAAAGAGTCCCTGACAGCCCAGAGCCTGCTCTGGAGACCCTCACCTTTGCCCCTTCCAGGTCTCCCAGCTTGCTCTTCTTCCTCATCAGTGTGTTGAAGAATGTCACATCGGCCTCCACCTGGTGCCTGTCTAGGATGGTCAGCAGTGAGGACTCCGCAGGGCTCCCAGGCTTTACCACCTCAGCCAGCAGTGTAAGGGTTTTAATGTCCGGCTGGAGCCCGTGCTTTTCCATCTGGCCCAGGAAGCCCTCCAGGCCCCCTATCAAAGCTAGCCTGTCAGCAGGGGTGATCACTGTCCCAAAGGAGACCACAGCTGGGGAGACAGTTTCCAAGGTCAGGAGGTTGATCTCCAACTCCAAGGGAGATGGCTTCAGAGCCACTGGGGTAAGAGCTGCTGTGTGGTCAGGCTCTGCCTTGGTTTCCACCTCAGATTGTGCCTTACTGGGCACTAGGGCCTCCCGAGGCTCTGGAAGTCCCTCAACTGCCTGAGAAGGTTCCAGAAACAGCTCCCTCTCCAGGGCCTCCACATGTACTCTGGTCATTACACCATCAATCACAGAAGAGCCTCTCCTCCCTGCCTGCTGCCTGCCTGGGGGCTGGAGCAGGACTGTCTCCTCTCTGGGTCTCAGGAGCAGCCTGGAGGCCACTTCTGGCTCCCCCAAGCCACAGTCCCGAGCTGCCCCTAACAGCAAGTTGTAGCCATGTTGGGTTGGCTTGAGTCCCAGGCTCAGCATCTGCCTCCACACCTGTAGGAGGAGACAAACATGAGCTCAGTGTTCCCGCCTCCTAGTAGAGGTGGGCACTGGCAGCAAGCAGACAGCAAAATCAGAAGACATAAGAAGGTTGGAGTGTATCTCACTGGTACAGTGTTTGCCTAGCAAGCACAAGGCCTAGATTCCATCTCCAGCACCACCAAATTAAAAAGGAGCTTTGCACGTATAATGCAACTTTAGTCCCTGCTCATGGGAGCCTGAGGCATGAAGATCACCTGAGACCAGAAGTTCAGAATTAGACTAGGCAACACAGTAAGACCACATCTCAAGAAAAATGTCTAACCTGACACCAGGCTCTGACAAATAAGAATCGTCAGAATTCTGAAACTCCTTCCATGGGAGGCCTCACAGGGGCCTGCAATTCTTCTCCTTCTTCAAGTTCACCCCAAAATTGTTCTCACAGTCTCATCCCTGTGCACATCGTTAAAGCCCCATACCTAAGGGAGAGATGGCCAGAGAGGCTAGGTTCTGGAAGCAGCAACTCCTGAGTGCCTGCTACATGCCCAACTCCTGACTTAAGGGTGCTGAGGCCAACAGAGAATTCTCTTGAGAGTCCAGCACAGGGCAACATGGAGCCAGATTCGGAGCCAGCAGATTGCAGGGCTGGGTTCAGGCCAACTGCAGCTGAAGTCTTGCACCCTCATTAGTTGTGAACACTGAGTCTCCACTTGCTCATAGGACATATTATTTTCATCTCCACTGCATGACATCTAGTACATTCAGTGTGTGATCAACGGATGCAGCTCTGTTCATATCTGGGTTGCTCTGACACATTTCTAAGAGACCACAGAGGTCCCCTCTGCTTTGTGGGCTTAGCAGGAATCTACCCTCAACCTGGGGTTAGGGCATACGTCTGACACCCTGCCCTCCTCAGAGATGTGTGTGCAGATGTAGAGGAACAGGTTAGACCCTAGCTGGATGAGTCTTGCAAGAGGGCCACTGCCCACCACAGCAGTGCCTTGAAGAGATCCAGGATCTTGGCAGACATACCCAACAAGGAATGGCTGACAGATGGAGATTTATGGGACACATACACCATCCTATGGCAGTTGGGATTCAGGGTCTAGTGTCAAATAAAATGTCAGTTAAAGGCCCAGCTTTTAGTGGCCGTAGCACCTCAGGCAGGTACTAACTTTTGTGAGCCTCAGTTCCCTCACCTGAAAAATGGGGCTAACAGTGTCTAGCAGAAGCAGTTCACCAGAGTGTAACACAAATAGGCCACTGCTACAATAGGTTACTTCTAAGAAGAACAGATCAGTTCAAGGAATGAGAGAAACTACCTACATCCATGATGGCCAGCTAGCCACTACTTCTAAGGGTTCTGCATCGGGAATGGGAGCATCTGACCCCAGACTGTTCCTTGTAAGGGCACTCAGACTCTGTGCAGGGAGTTTGCTGAAATGCAGATTTGGACACAGGAAGTTTAGATGGGGCTGCTGCTGCTTGTTTGGAGCATACTTTAGGACAGTGTGACTTCAGAAGTAGCTGTGCACCAGCACTGACACCAGCTTCCCACACGATGAGGAAAATTATCTCTGGGGGCTGAACTGGGATTAGAGCTGCAGGTTTGACTTTGGGATTAAGTACACATTTCTGGGTCACACTTGCAGATGCTGAGTGGAGAGAAGAGGGGATGTGGAGTGAGCTACGCAGTCAGGGACCATGAGCTAAAGGGGCCTGGGCTGGCCATCCAGCACAGTGGGAGAGGTATGGGCTGGCTGTGTCCTCACTTGAGGACCAGCCCTGGTGTCTCCATGGACCTCATCTCCTGAGCACCTGTAAAATGAGAGCGGTGAGCCTCACAATGGCTGCTGAGAAAGACAAAATATGGCAAATATAAAAATGCTTGGCATAAGGCAGTAGCAAAAACTCAGGAAATGCACAAAGGATCATTGTTTTGCACTCCTGGTGCAGGTGCACAGTGGAAGGAGGGCAGGAAGGCAGAGTGGAAGGGACAAACCTGCAGGGCGAGTCGGAAGCCTATCTTCTTGTCCTGGATGCAGCCCATGAGCAGGAAACTAAAGGTCTCTTCTGTGACAGCATGCCCCTTGTGGATGATTTCCTGGGAGGGAACAAGGCGGTTCCATTGAGAATCTGCAACAGGATCCAGGCCCAGGTGCCTGACCCCCTAGGGCCAGAACCAGGCTCATGTGTCTTAATGAGCTGAGTGAATAAATATGGCACTTGGGGCCAGTTTGGAACCAGCTCCTGAGCCAAACATCCACCTGCCAGTGAGTGTGGGCAGCACCTCTGCATAGACCACACCCTAGCAGCCATGTTTGGCAGCCCTGGCCTCAATGTCCCAGCTCTATCATCAGCCAGCTATGACCATGAGGGCAAGGCCCCCAGCTCTCTGGCCTTGGTTTCCTCATCTGTGAAAGGACAGGTCTTCTAGAATCTTTGGAACAACCCCACCATCATGTTGTGCTGCAGTGTGTCTAGTTCCCACTGGCCCCTTGGTGTGTCAGGTTTGGCTCTCCCCTCCTTGAGACGTCCCTTCCACCTCTCAGTACCTCAAGTCCCTACTCTGGCCCTCCAGTCAGTACAGGGGCTCCCCACCCCACCACTGGTGGCTTCCTGCCCCCCCACCCTGCCCCACAGCCTACCACTGTCTCTGCCTCCAACCTGCCCTGGTGGAACTGGGCCCAAAAGGGAGAAACAGGGAGGGGGCTGTCCCACCTTGAACACATCAAGGCACATCCTGAGGTCTGAGCACTTGGCAGCCATCTTCAGCAGAGCATGGTATGTCTTCAGGTTGAACTGGACATTTTTAGCCTGGAGCTGCTGTCGTAGTTTCAGGGCACTCTGAAGGGCAGAGTCCTTCCAGGGTGACTCGGCACAGACATTGAATAGGGCTGTGTATGTGGCATCTGAGGGCTCTAAATCCCGTTTTTTCATCTGTTGAAGTGAAGGAAATTTAAGAGGTAGTACCAGGATCAGTTGGACGCAGAGAAAAGCAGCTACCCCATAGGACCCTAGAGAGGTCTCTATTACTATAATCCACTGACCTGAGGGCTAAGGCTGAGCCAAGGGACATTTCAAAGGGCTAAGGCTGAATCAAGGGACATTTACATATCTAAACCCAACTCTACCAGAGGGACTCTGAAAACTGAAGATTTCACCCCAGAAATTCCAATGAGAAATCATTCTCGCTGAGCACCTGGTCACTTGTCGAGACTGCTCTGGGCCTGGGGTGTTTGCAGCAGGGGCCTTCCAATCCCTAACCTCAGGTCCAATCAGATCACCCTGATTGGCAAAGGGCCACAGGGTGGATCTGTCTGGGAAAAGAAGTACAGTGCTCACTCACTGAGGGGTCACGGGCAAGTGAGTTTTCCTTGCAGAACTGGGAATGAAACCATCATCCTAAAAGAGATGCAGGGGCTGGTAGGAGAGTATAGGTTAGTGATCTTGGGTGGCTCCCCACTCATTTGTAGCAGCCAACAACAATACTCACTCTTAAGACTACCCAACCTCTACATCACACTCTGGGAATGAGGCTAACTCGGGACCTGTAAAGCCTCCAGGTGGCTGAGGAAGACACTGGAGTCAGAGCCTACTAGTAAAGCCAAGCACTCACTATTGCCTGGAGAAGGTCATCTGACCAATGAGGGCAGGTGACCAGCTGCTAAGGCACTGAAAAGAGCCCTGCTAGAGTCAGGTCATTTGGGGCTCAAATCCCAGTTTCAATGCTCTCCTACAGGGCAACCATGGACATGTCCATTCTTCTCTGAGCCTGAATTTCCTTATCTGAAAAGTGCAGGTGGGCTGTGTGTGATGATAAACACCTGTAATTCAGCTAACGGAGTCTGACGCAAGAGAACTGCAAGTTCAAGGACAGCCTGGGCAACTTAGTGAATAAAATAAAAAATAAGGAGTTGTGTTTGTGGCTCAGTGGTAGAGCACTTGCCTAGCACACGTGAGGCACTGGGTTCAATCCTCACAACCACTTAAAAAGAAATAAAATAAAGGTATTGTGTCAATATACAACTAAAAAAAAGTTTTTTTAATTAAAAAAATAAGAAGGGCTGAGGATATAATATCGTGGCAAGCTGCTTTTTCCAAAAAAGTACTTTTTTTCAAAAAAAAAAAGGGGGGGGAGTGCAGATGATAATCTATTCTTGGAGGAAGATGTACACTCTGTGTTTATCATGTATTTGATAGGTGTGGACAAAGGACTTACTACATGTCCTCAGTGGGAACCAGTAGTGATCAGAGCAAGCAGAGCCTATCCTCATTAAGCATTCATTAGAAAAAGAAAAATAAATGGCAGATGATCAAGTACTCACAAGCAGTCATAAATGCTGTGAAGGATACCCAGAAAACAGGGTGAAAAGGGAAAAAGTATAAGAAAACACTGGAGAGACCTAGCAAACACCACTTTCACCAAGTGACCAAGGTTCACATCATCAGTAATAAGACGTGTTGATGCATGTGCACCCTGACATGAAAGGGTACTAACCTCTGTGATAGACTTTTCCCACACCCCAACTCCTATCTCAAGAGAAAGCACCAGCCAAACACACTGATGGGTCTGTACCAGACCTGACCAGTGCTCTCCAAAACTGTCATAGTTGTGAAAAACAGGGAAGACTCATAAAACGTCACAGACTGCAGGAACTAGTGCCAGTCTGAAAGCCCAGAATGCACACAGGAATAGAAAGAATGGAAAAACTGGTGAAATCCAAATAAAGTCTGGAGTTTAGATCCCAGCCATGCACTGATATTGGGTGTTTTCTTTTGACGAATGTAGTATGGTACTATATGATGTCAATATGGCAAAAATTGGGTGAGAGGTATGTGGGAACTTTCTATACTGTCTCTGCAACTTTTTTATAAAGCTACAATTATTCTAAAATAAAATGTCTATTTAAAAAAAGGCCTGTAATCCCAGTGACTTGAAGGCTGAGACAGGAGGATTACAAGTTTGAGACCAGTCTGAGCAACTTAGTGAGGCCCTTCTCAAAATGAAAAATAAGAAAGGGCTGGGAATGTAACTCAAAGGTAAAGTCCCCCTTGGTTTAATCTGCAGGACTACATAAATACATAAAAAAGTAAACATAAAATACTAATTAGAATACATCTATAATCCCAACAACTTGGGAGGCTGAGGCAGGAAGACCACAAATTCAAGGTTAGCCTGGATAACTTAGTGAAACCCTGTCTCCAAATAAAAAGCACTTGAGGGCTGGGATATAACTCAGTTGGTAAGTGCTTGCCTCACATGCACTTGAGGCCTTGGGTTCAATCCTCAGTACCACACACACATCAATAAGAACAACAACAGGCAACAAAGGATAGAGAATGACAAAGGCTAAATAGAGAAGCCTGGCTTCACTGAGGTGGTGATAAACAGGGCAATCACTTAAGAATTCTGAAGATGTAAAGGAGAATTGCTACTGAATGGGTGACCAACTTCCCCCTTTTCTCCTTGCCCATTAGCTGGCATGTGAACTCTTTTCTACCAGCTAGTTGGCCAGGGAAGCCTTCTGTCTTCCTGTGCCATGACTATTTATTAGGTCTTTATTTATTCTGCAGTACTGGAGATTGAACACAAGGGCACTTTTACCTCTGAGCTAACATCCCAGACCTTTTTATTTTGAGCAGGGTCCCTAAGTCTATGTAGGTCTTTTAAAAGCTGTCATGCTATTCTACCATTTGTAAGTGCAATGACTCCCCCTTGCTTCCAGCTATAGATCATTGGACCTGGAGTGCAGTGACCCAAGTGACAGGAAGACTAAAATCCCCAGAAGCCCCTGCTGGGTAAAGGACCCCCAACCTTCTGGCCTCAGTAGACAGGCTCTCTCCCACAGGTCTACCGACCTCCCCAGCAAGCCTTTCTTGACTCATGAAGGAAATAGCTTCCCAATGATGACACACCAAAGAGGTAAATGAATGGAAAGTAAAATGATCTTCCAGAAGGAATAAAAGTACTTTCTCATGTGGAAGCCAGTGCATATGGGTGCCATATGCAGGGGATAAAAAACAACATGAACCAGGAACAGTAGCAGAAAAGGAAGGAGCTGTGTGGGCCCATGGTGGCCCAGGCGGGTGCTGAAGGTGTCATCTCAATTAATACCCAAGATCACCTTCGTTTTATAGATGATAACTCTGCCACCAGGGAGCTTAAGTCCTCCACCCAGAGTAAAGCGCCAGCAAGTGGCACACTCAGGACCTGTACCCAGCCTTATGGTCCCAAAGCCCATACTCTCTAGAGCCTTGCCCCACTACCATGTGGCACACTCACATCATTGTAGAGCCCGAAGGCCTTCTTCAGGTAGCCAGCCCTCCCGCAGCCTCCAATCAGCACCGTGTAGTTGTACTCGAGTGGCTGCAGTTGCTCCTCCTTTAGCATCTGCCTCTCAAACAGGTCCAGGGCTTCAGCCAGCTGGCAGGAAAGGGAGACAAGGTGAGGATGAGACAAGGGCTTAGGATGGCCTCAGAGACCCTCAGTAGAGGGAGGGAGGAACCATCCTGACATGGTGCAGGGCAGCAGCTCTGGGTGACTACAAACCTCCACAGACCACAGTTGCTTTAGCCTCATCTCTACTCCCCGGTTCAATCCTTGGTTCACAGGGAGGGATGTGGCTTCATAGTAGAGCATTTGCCTGGTTATGTGTGAGGCCCTGAGTTTGATCCTCCAACACCAAAAAAGATTATACATACACACATACACACACATATGTATATATTTTTAAATCCTCAGTTCACTACTTCACCCCTTAATTACTTTCATCTGTTAATTCAAATAATTACTGAGTCCTATTATAAGCCTAGCAAAATCTATTCACTAGCTGTGAATAAGAAGCTCCTCCTTCATGAAGCTCATGTTGTAGTTGGAAAGACAGACACAAAGTGCAGTAATGAAGAAATACATATGTATTTATGAACAAAAATTAAAGCAGGGAACACTGGAAGAAAGGTACAGGGGATTCATCTTTAGGAGCCAGGTGGCGCATAAACAAAGACCTGAAGAAGGTAGGGGAGGGAGCCAGGAGGCTCTCTGAGGGAATAGTCAGTGCAAAGGAGTGGGCCTGGAAGATGAATGAGAAGTTGGGGTGCTGAGGTGAATGAAACAAAGTAAGAGATGAGGGTAGAGAGATAATGGAGGAGTGGAGGATGAGTGTGGCAGATCTTGCAGGCTCCAAAAAAAAAAAAAAAAAAAAAAAGCCTCGTGAAGATTTTGGCTTCTCTTTATTTCTTAACTTTTCATTGAAATGTACACAAAAGCAAGAACAGTATAACTACAACTGTAAATATCTAGCCAATCCTGTTTCACCTGTAGCACCTGTAGCTTGCATGCCCCCTCCAAATAGTATGTTTAAAGCAAATCTCAGTGATCCTCTCAGTTCATCCATAAGAACTTCAGCACATACCTCCAAGAGACTTTTAAACACAACGCAATATCATTATCAGTCCCCACGAAAATAACCTTTTTTCTCTTTTTTTTGGTGCTGGGGATTAGACTTAGGGCCTCAAGCATGTTAGGCAAATTCTCTACCACTAAACTACACCCCAACATAAATGCCACTGAATACACTGGGAATTTGGGGGAGATGATTAACTCAATCTGCCTTCTGTTTAACATGACAGCTCTGTGCTGTGATTGACAGCATGGCAGGAAGTGACCAGAGCAACAAGTGTTAAGTGTTCTAATAGCCGAGAAGGGCAAAGAGAAGGCCTTTCAAGAGTGGGGCTGTGAGAAGTACTTAGGGCTAGCGACAGACTGGGGGTAGAGTTGGTAAGAGAAAGAGAAGAATGAAGCATGACCTAAGGAAGTTTGGCCTTGGCAATGGAATGACAGGATTGCCATGAAGTGAGGTGAAGCGTGGGAAAACAGACTTGAATCTGTACAGGTGCCTGTGTGGATAAGCACAGGGAGATGACAAGGAGGAAAACCGATACACTGATCAGAGTCCATGGGAAGAACACAGCTGGAGATATACACCGAAAACTGCAGCTGGGGAACGTCAATGCCATGAGACTGATGGGTCAGCAGGGTAAATGATGCCAGGGAAGAAAAAGGGCCCATGGACCAAACACTGAGCATCTCAACATGTATTGTGGGGAAGGCTGGGTGGCCCCCCACAATATACTGAGCTGCAGGAAAGCCAAATCCCAAGGTTCCTCACCTTTCCTTCCCTAATTAGGCGTTTACACTGAAGGAAGTACCAATATGGGGTGTTTCTTGGGCCCTGCCATGATTTTGGCTCCAGTTCCCCTTCTTCATCTTCCTCAATATTCTGTTCCCTGAGTCGTAGGTCATACAACTGGGGTGTTGATTTGTGGAATATCTTCCGGGAGGAGTATTTATTAGAGAGGGTTCCAAAGCTCTCCTCTTCCTCTTGAGGGCCTGTGGAGCTGGGCTGGCTTGGGTCAGAGTGGAGGCTGCTCATATTCTTCTGGCTCCCAGATTCAAAGGCAGCTGACAAAGGGGAGCTGCTGAAGGCAGCTAAGGCTGGCTGAGTTGGCCCCACAGCCCTCAGCCACACAAGCCCCTCCCTGCCTCCTGTCCACTGGGCTCCAAGAAGGTCAAAGTGCTGGAGGCCCAAGAGCCCCAAGGGGCGGGCCCGAGAGAATAGGCGGACAAGTCTCACCGGGTCCATCTCTGTCTTTTCTGTCCCACCAGGGCCTGGAATACATCAGGAAAAAAAAGAAGTCAACTCAAAATCATAGTCACTAAAGACAGAAGGAGGACAGAGAAGTGGTTAAAGTGGGCCCTGAGGTTAGATTCCAGCACTGTCAAAAAACTATCCATATGCCCCTGGGCACTCACTGCTCCAACATCAGTGTTACCTCTAAACTGAGATTAACGAGGTTACCCACACAGCACTGTAGCAACAGGTGAGATCGTGATGCATTAGATCAGCTTGGGAGGCTGAGGCAAGAAGACTGTGAGTTCAAAGCCAGCTTCAGCAACTTAGAGAGGCCCTAAGTAACTCAGTGAGACCCTGCCTCTAAAAAACGGGATGTGGCTCAGTGGTTAAGTGCCCCTGGGTTCAATCTCTTATACGAAGCATGTAGCACAGTGCTGGCATTGTCAACACTTATTAGATAATAAGCTATTGGTATTATTAAATCATGATCTGTGAACATGGACACTAAAGTCAGAGCCAAGTTAGAGTCCTAGAACCTGTTACTTGACCTTCCTGTGCCTTGATTGCTTCAACTGTAAAATGAAATTACATGAGATGCTTTTAGTACAATGCCTGGCATTTAAGAGGTATTCAAAATCTGTAGTTATTGGGCTGGGGTTGTGGCTAAGTGGTGGAACACTCACCTAGCATAGGTAAGGCACTGGGTTCAATCCGCAGAACCTCATAAAGATAAATAAATAAAGGTATTGTGTCCTTTTACAGCTAAAAAAAAAAATATATATTTATAAAAACAATTTATATATATATATATATATATATATATATATATATATATATATATAAAGCTGTAGTTACTATCACTTATTAGGAAAAATTTGTTGTTGGCATTCTAGGCCTCTGCAAAGGGAAGCTAACTCAAGTGTTTCTTTTATGGAAAACTCGTGTGGACAAATAGGGAAGAGCTGTGCTGTCCAAAACAGCCACTGTGGCATGTGGCTACCGAGCACTTGCAGTGTGACCAGTCTGAAAGGCAATATGCTTTAAGTGTAAAATACACATTGGATTTCAAAGTCTTTTTTTACAAAAAACTAGAATCTAAAATACACATTAATAACTTTTAAAAGTCCTGAAATATTTCAGCTATGCTGGGCTAAATTATTAACATTAATTTCAAAGTTTCTTTTAATTTAATGTGACCATTTGAAAATTTAAAATTACTTATGTGTTTGATATATATATATTGTGTGTGTGTATATATTATATGTGTGTGTGTGTGCTTAACCACAGAGTCACATCTCCAGCCCTTTTTTATGTTATTTAAAGACAGAGAAGGTCTCGCTGAGTTGCTTAAGGCCTCCCTAAATTGCTGAGGCTGGCTTTGAATTCAGGCTCCTCCTGTCTCAGCTTCCCAAGGTACTGAGATTACAGGCTTGCGCTAGTGTGCTGGGCCTTGCATTTTATTTCTTTTGGACAGTACTGACCTAGAGATTTCAGCCTGCATACTTTAAATCCTTTAATTTAAAAAAATCAGAATAACCAGCTAACAGCAGGAAAATATTTTAAGGTATGGCTGTATTGGATGGTTGCCAATGGAAAGACCTCCGAGGTGATAGAAGGTTGAACAGATTAGTGACCAAGACGAGGTAAGGAAGAGATTTGCTAAGGTCCTGCAGCAGTACTATAGCAATATATACACATTCAGGCTGCGCTAGTATATGTGCTTCTCGTTCGATGTATTAAATAGTGATATCCTATCATAATTTCAAGGCGGAAACCAGTGTAAACGTTAGATCGAGGTGCGCAGACGCCGCTCGAACACTCATCTCCGCCTGAAATACCAGGCGCTGCTAACGCTGCTCGGTCAGAGACAGAAATGCCCACTTTCACACAGAGAAAATAAAGGAATTTTCTTACCAGGTCTGAAACCCTGAATTAGAGACTCCCAGCGCCGTTCCCCCTTGGAGGGACCCGCTGGACCCCAGACGCGCTCCAGGACCCTGGGGGCCAACCCTGACCCCTCTCCACCCGCCTTTAGAGCCCGGTCTCCTCCCACGACGCCCCGGCCCGGCTCAGGCTCCGCCGGGTCCGGGGACTCCTGCGAGGAGCCAACAGGAACTCACTCGAACCTTCCAGCGAAGTGAACGCCGCCCGGGCCTCCACGTCCCCGAGTCCACTCCCCGCGGCGCCCTCAGGGTCACCCTCTGCGAGATGCGTGCCTCAACCCGGCCACGCGCAGGCGCAAGCACATTCCGCGTCGCGAACTCGCGCGCGGGCCGAAGCAGGCGTTCGGCTGGCGGCTAGGCGAGCCTGGCGGAGCGGAGGCACTCTGCGCTCTATTGGCCGGGTCTGGACAGGCGAAAGGGCCGGCGCGGGCTCCGGGCGCTCCCGGCATCCCTCGGGCGGCGGCGGCGGCGGCGGGCAAGGCGGAGGAGGACCGTGTGTGGCGGGACCGGTGGTGGGCAGTGGGTGCGGGCGGCCAGAGACCTGAGGGGGAGCCGGGCCGGGGGGCCGCCGCCGCCGCCATGCAGGAAATCATCGCCAGCGTGGACCACATCAAGTTCGACCTGGAGATCGCCGTGGAGCAGCAGCTCGGGGCGCAGCCGCTGCCCTTCCCGGGCATGGACAGTGAGCGCGGGGCCCCGGAGGGCGGGCGGGCGAGACCAGCTCGGACCCGAGACTCAGCGTCCCGGGCCCTTTCCCCTCATGTGGGACCCCTCTCCCTCGCCCGGACCCGGGAGCCTCTTCCTCGGACCCTGGATCGCCTGGGGCTGTTCGTGATAAGCTTTAGGGCGGCAGGACTGTGTCGGTTGTCCCCGTAACTCTTGAATGAAGGCGCATTCTCCCAAATTGGAAACCTCCACATACACACCCGCTTCTCCAACCAGAGAGAAGTCCCTTCCCACCTCCCTCACCCCAAGCGCCGCCTTATTGCTTTCACCAAAACCGGGCTGTTCCAGGAGCCCAGTGAGGGAAGAACCAGCTCTCCTTCGCTCCAGGAAACCCACAACCAGACCTTCGGATTCTGTTCTTTTCCTAAGACTCCCCACTCCTGGGAGATCACTCCTGGTTCTGGATCTATCAGCTTTTCCTCTGAAACCCAACTCCAGATCATTTACTGCACCCAGGCGGATATATCGACCCTTGTTCTGAGATCCCTCTACTCTCCCTCTTCACATGGGGGCTCCTGGCTTCTCTATCCTCACTTTCAGCAGATTAATTCTTAACTCCTTTCTGAGTTAATGACAGGTAATGCTATAACACTAAAGCTCAAGGAGTTCATAGAGGTCCAGGTGGGGCAGCAGTTTTGGGCAAAGCCAGGAGATCTCTTCAGGGTTGCATCCCCTCTCCCATGACTGCCAGGGGACTGCAGTTGGCGCTCTTCTTCCTGTCTCTACAGCCTCATTCCCCTTCTGGCAATCCGGGCTTCCAACTTGAGTCTATCCCCTCCTGCTGATACTCATGTGCCAAATAATGTTTTTGCCCAAAAAACAAATTCAAATTATTTTACACACACAGACACCTGCAAATAACTCTTCAACTTCAGAAACACACTATCTTGCACACACACACACATCCACTCACACACTAGGACTTCTGTCTTTTTTACCCCCTATGGTACTATGGATTGAATTTAGGGCCTTGCAAGTGCTAAGTAAGTGCTCTACCACTCAGCTACATCTCCAGCTCTCTTTATTTTTATTATTATTTTGAGATGGTATCTCCCTAAGTTTTGCTGAGGCTGGACTCAACCTTGTGATCCCCCCTGCCTCAGGCTCCCAGCCAACTCGGATTACAGGCATACACCATAGCACTTGGTCCTTCTGTCTTGTTTTGTTTTTAATATGCCTTCTCCCTGTATTGCCCAGGCTAGTCTCGAATGCATGGACTTAAATAATGCTCCCACCTCAGTCTCCCAAGAGTTGAGATTACAGGCATGTACCAGGACTCCCAGCCTTTTTCTGGCTTGAGGTCATAGAACAATCCAGGAAAGGCAACTCATCTCTCCATCATTCTACAAGCCTGTGGGAGCAGGTGCAATGATAAGGATCCCACATATCTATTCCTAGGGATGGTCAGGTCAGCACAAGTGCCTCCCCAGCCCAGGGCCTCAAACTTGGTAGCACTCACTGTTTGTTTGTGATCATATTCATTATGCTAAAGCCCAATGAGGCTATAATCCTTCCTCACTCTTCCTGCAGTTCATTCCCATCTCAGTTTGAGAAGAACTATCAGTTTTGCCCCTGAGGTATTCTCTTATTCAATTTCCCTGATACCAGTCCCCAGGACTGTGGATTTCTGACTTTAAAGAATGAACCTCTGAAAAGAACAAGACTAAATACTCTTAAGTGTTACTTTTTTTTTTTTTCTTTTTTGGGGGGTACTGGTGATTGAACTCAAGGGCACTCAACCACTGAGCCACATCGCCAGCCCTGTTTTTTGTATTTTACTTAGAGACAGGGAGTCATTGAATTGCTAAGCACCTCACTGTTGCTGAGGCTGGCTTTGAATTCATGATCTTCCTGCCTCAGCCTCCAGAGCCACTGGGATTACAGGCGTGTGCCACTATGCCTGGCAAGTGATATTTTTTTTTGGTACTGGGAATTGAACTGAAGGGTACATGACCACTGAAGCACATCTCCAGCCCTATTTTGTATTTTATTTAGAGACGGGGTCTTACTGAGTTGCTTAGCACCTCGCCATTGCTGAGGCTGGCTTTGAACTCGTGATCCTCCTGTCAACCTCCCAAGCTGCTGGGATTACAGGCTACACCACCGCACCTGGCATGCAAGTAATACATTTTTTTAAAAAATATATATTTACTTGTAGATGGATGGACACAATACCTTTGTTTATGTAGGTGTTTTTTGTTTGTTTTTTAACGTAGTGCTGCAGATCAAACATAGTGCTTCATGTGTGCTAGGCAAGCACTCTGCCACTGAGCCACAACCCCAGCCCCCCCAGTGATGGATTTTTTAACACAAGACTTTTCAAGCTTTTTTTTTTTTTTTTTTAATATTTATTTTTTAGCTTTAGGTGGGCACAATATCTTTTTATTTTGTTTTTATGTGGTGCTGAGGATCGAACCCAGTGCCTCATGCATGCCAGCGCGCTACCACTTGAGCCATATCCCCAGCCCCTTTTCAAGCTTTTTAAAGTGCAAATAATGACTCTCCTCTAACTTCCTGGTAACACCTCTAAATACAACAGCCTTAACTCTATAGTAGCAAAATCTACCTGCTGTTTATAAGCCATAGAATCTCTTCTATGGCTTAGCAAATGGGTTTCAGATATTCTGTTGGTGGCTCTTCAGAAATTTTGAAATGCCTGCCAATAGGAAAAACAGCTCTTGAAGCAAAGGAGAGTTTACCCTAGAAGTTGTGGCTGGTGAATTCCTGGACTCATCAGAATAGCTGGCCCCAGGGTCCCATAGACTTCTACTGTACTCTGCCTCTGTGGTCTTGCTTACCTTCCCAGAACTGGCTACACCTGTGCAAAAGAAAGGCCATGCTCCTTTAGTAATGATATGTTAATGATGCATATTAAGAGCAGGTCTGAATCCATGTCTTTACTTACAGTCTTTCTTCAGGACTAGCGTCTCATAGGCACCTGCCTCTTTTTCCTGTAACCTGTCTCCCTTCAGAGGCCCCATTTGCTTGTTGATATTTCCTGTGAGATCATTTCCTCCTTCTTAAGTGCCATGAATTAGCCCTCCTGGAAGGTCTGAGCTGGGGTAATTAACCTATTTTTGTGACCTTGTACTCCATCCTACCTTCCTCAACCACTCTTAACTCTTGTTGTTATTTTGTTTTTGCAGAGCAGATTCCCAGAATATCAGTAAAGTTCAGCTTTTTATTGAAGATGTTACAAAAGAGGTTTAATCAAAAAGACCAAAGCCCATAGTATCATCAGAGTCCTCAGATTCTTCTTTCTTCCGCTTTCTTCTCCTTAGCTAGGGTAACAGTGGTGGAGAGGTCAGGACCTCCTGCCAGTGCCTTATCAGCTGCCAGAGCAGGTCCACCAGCCCCTACATTGCCAGTGAGGCTCCATTGTTGATATTGACCAAGGCCTTTGCAAATGCATCAGGCTGGAAAGGTTCACCATTTATACCAGCTGCTTTAATGAGGGCATTGATCCTCTCTGTGACAATCACCTCATCATCCTGCAGGACAAGAGCAGAGTAGATACAGGTGAACTCAGAGATGTAGGCCATGGTGTCCTGTATGTTTCTAGTCACCAGATGAAGTAAGGGTATCACCCCAATGTAACCTTTGCTTCCTGGGAAGGACCATGCACCTGGGTGGCATCTGAGGAAAAGCCACTCTTCAGCTTCTAATACCTTGAAAGGTCACTTCCAGGAGGTTCTCAGCACTGACTGATGCTCTGTCTCAATGTGCATGTCTCATTTTTCAGGGAATGACTGAAATAAGTGGTTTTCGCCTGACTTGGTTGGGCTTTGCATCTTTTGCTAATGTTTCCTGTACCCTAGGTCAAAGGCCAGAATAAACCCTTCCCATTGTCTTCAGTCATTGCAAATAGCAATGGCACTTTGCTTTGGTTGATGCTGCTCCCTTTCTTTTTACAGAGTCGGGGGCTGCTGTCTGTGAATTCTTTTTGAAAGCTGCCTGTGGCAAAGGTAAGAGACTTCAGTTTTCTAAAATGCCCCTTCACCACCTTGTCCCCTAGCAGACTTGTAGGTCACCAAGTCTCTGACTTGTGTTGCCTTCTGCAGACCAACAATGTCCTTAGTTGAATAGGCTAGGAACCTGATGGGGCATCCCCAAATCTAAACACAGGATTGAACCTGGCTCAGATGCTGCCTTCTCACCTCAGCAGAGAAGAAGCCCCAGCACTGAGGCATCCAGAAATGTTCTCAAGGTACCAGAGTTACTCTGTGACTGAGCCCAGTGAATATAGGCCTCTTTGATTCCATTCTCTCGGGCTTTCTGTCCACTGTGGCTTCTTAGCAAAGGACCCTGCAATACTCCTTCTTTTGAGGTCTTGTTTGTACTAACCAGGTCCCAATACACACTGTATGAGCCAGATAGTCTGTTAATTCTGGGCACGTATATGTCTGGGCATTTTTCACCCTATAGGGAAATTTATTTAGGAAACTAAATCAGAAAGTTGACAAGGAACACAGGACTAGATCAAGGGGATGGATCTAGAGGATGATTTGGGTTAGTTTTGGTTGTATAGCAGTCATTTGTCACTGAAGCAGGTAGATGAATTAGCTCAG